AAAAATCATTTTCTTTCATCTCAGTTGTATATGGCAACTTTTCAGTTAGCCCATAGTGTCTTTTTTTTAATAAGGCTTTTATTTTTTGTATATATGAAGATCTGACATGAGTGTAGAAATGAGCTGGCTGGCTAAGTTGGGTTCTACCAGAAGGTTTTTCAAAGTGACTGGAAGACAGTTGTTTCCAGACAAAGAACCTTAACATAATTAAAAAAATGTTGTCAGTTACATATGCAGTAGGAAAAAAGCTAAGTGGAAAAAATGAAAATAAACAATAGCAGTATTTTAAAATAGTCAGAGATGGGTAGCCAGGAACCACAAGAGACATACTTATTTAGATCAGTGGTTTTCAGCCTGTAGCCTGCAGATCTCTCTGCTCTGGGACCTGCTCTGAGGGGTCTGTGAGAGGAGATCGGGGAAACATGCGCATGCATGCTTGAAAAAGCAGGAGACTGCTGGGCTGGGGAGAAAGTATCTGAAAGAGTGAGGTATGAGGAAAAAATGGCTGTTGCATATCTTGAGAGCCAAGTGTGATGTGCTGCAGAAACAGGCCAGCCAGCAGTATGCTCACACTTCAGCACTGCTGAGCCTGAGCTAGTGAGTCCAGAGCTAAGCAGTGATGCTGGTTGTAAGGGCTTTCTAGAGTGGATGCCATGCTGGGCAAATGAAGCTATGCTGCCTGGAGATCTGAGATGCTGTACCCATCTAGTGCTGTGTCATGCTGTGTGATCTTCATCTTTTTGAAAATGGTCTAGGGTTGTCTAGTTTCTGCATTATTGGATGGTACAAATGTGAATATTGGAGGGGTCGTAATCTTGATGACATACACTTGAAAAAGATGCAAACAATGTAGTGTTTATGGATGCACTGCAATGAGGCGTTCAAGGTAGTAGGTTTTCTCCTGCTTCAGGGCTTCAAAACCAACAAGCTTGTTTTATAACTAATGCCACTTTTTGGTCAACACGTCTGTCGTGAGATGTCAGAAGATGTTCCCCTCTCCTCCTGGAGTTAGACCCCCTTGAACTTTTTGTTTCTCTTTCAGAATAGAAGAAATGTCTACAAGCACCTACTTTTGACAAATTTGACATAACTCGTGTTGACATCCTCTCCTGTTGCTGTCAAACAGTCTTTTCTGAGAGTGAATTAAGGCTTTATAGGGAATTGAATAGCTTCCTGTGAAGAAGGGAAAGAAGGAATCTCCCAGCATTTAAAATAGGTGACAGAATATACACTGTGTAATCAGATTTTCATCTGCATCCTCATGAGTTGAATAAAAAAAAAATTTGCAAAGATTTTTTAAGTTCTGAACTGTCATGTTCTTTTGGTGATCAGAAATGAATTGTTACTTTAAACGTCAATGAAACAAGTCTCCAGAGACACTTTCAAAAGACTTTCTGTGACACAGCCTGCTTCTAAATGTGGTTCCTAAGACTTAGAGCTGAATTGTTGCTGCCACATAGGAACATGGGTTTTCATTTTTTAAATGTCTTGTTGCATAGGAGTGTTCAGATTGAACACGCTTCAGTGTGCTGCAAAAGTAAATGCATTAGGACTAAAAGGTCTGTTGGCAACATTTTTATAATATGCTGAGCAGCAAATTCTTTATCAGAGGTCAGAGATCCCAAAGTTGCCATGTCTGTGGAGGAGAGGTTGGTTCCTTTTTGAAACAGCATCCACTGCAGAAACTCTTGGTAGAGGCAAGTGTACAGGAAAGCAGAGCTGTGTGTTAGGAGACACTGACAGAGGCCAACTACAGGATGAGGCTTTGCGGCAGAAGCAGTGCTGTAGCCAGTGCTAGTCAGGACTAGGTTTGTGCACAGAGCTGCGTAGGGTAGATTGCTCTGCGCCTTGCTCAGACTTCAGATTGATCAATTGGAGCGTGAAATCCCTTCAGAAGACAAACGGAGAGCAAGAAAAATTGGGAGAAATTATAAAAGGCACTACACAGGCAAAGAGAAATTTATGAGTGTGTGTGTTTTGCCTGACTGTGTATTATAAATGGTGTAACTCTTTGTTAGGATCTGTGGTTCAAATCAATGTAAATGTAGGACCCCGTCATGCTGGATTCTCCTCGTCATCCCTGTTCATCCCATTTCTGAATGCCTTGGGTTTAAGAATTGCTGAGCTCATGGGAGAAATTTGAAGGCAAATTTGGGTGTTGAGACAAACAGAAGAACATTTTCTGGGTTTGTATCAAAGCACAGGTTCTTGCCACATGTTTATAGATAAACTCTGAATTCTTCCCACTGCATATCAGGTTAAATACCAACAGCAGAATAAAAGACACTCAGTAAAAGTTAATTGTTGCCAAGCTGTTTATTCATAATAATGCCTTGATTGTGGTGTAAATGAGTGCTTGGTACCTTGCAATACTGTTACTGTGCTCTCTTTAAGCATGTATCATTACATTTTTCATTTTGAAGAGTCCATAAAACTTGTTTGGAGAATTGGTGCCAACCTGTGTTCTGTTTGTTTTCTTGAAAGAAATTTTATCTGGATTCAGGATGGTTGTAGACCGATGTTTATTTTTGAGGTTAGCCAAAGTATGGGAGAGCTGATGGATTTTGTAAAAGTTTAATAGTGATTATTTAAAACATTCTGGTCTCGTTCTGACTTAACTGAAATAGGAGAGGTTAGTTAATTCTGAATGAGAGCATGATCAGGTGTTACTTTCTTAAGACTTATTTTTGTTGCAGCTGTGATTGTTTGATGATGGGTGAATAAAGTGTACTATAGAATTCAATAAATCCTTCCTCTGAGGTTTTTAGGATCTCTGGAGCTTTGGGAAGTATTTTCTAATGTAGATGAAAGTTTTCTGTAAGTGGAAAATAATGGGGTGAGGTGTTTGTTTTAAAGGAAAACAAGAAAAATTATATGTTTTTTTTTCTCTACTACCCTTTCCCAGCTGTGTTTTTGTTTTCTTCCACTCAGAAATGTGTGTGTTTCTTTGAAGAGGTGTGAATGCTGAAGACAGCAGCTTAAACAACTGGTGTGTGGGATGTTTAGCAGCTACCACTGTTGGTATCTCTGGAAACCACACTAGTGGTGTAGAAGACTAAATGTAGCCATCTAACTTTGCAAATGCTCGGGAGACATCATGTTTGTACCTCACTTGCCCATTTCCTCTATAACTTCATATATCTGGCTGATAAACCCTATACTGAGATTCTGCTGTAGCCTTCATCAGGGTTTATAATGAACTAAATCCCAATAAAAACTTAATTTTCAAGTTCTCACAATGTCTGAGTTCTCCTATTCAGATATTTTGGCGTTAGCCTAAATATACCTGGCAAGGTAAAACATGTATATATATGTGTTCATATCTCTGTTTTAATGTTTATAGATATGAATAATTTGACTTTTAGTTTGGTTATACTCTGTGCATGTCCAAATGCTGCACAAGGAGGGAGTTTACTTGTGATTTTAAATAGTATTAAGTTCTCTCTTCAAAATAAAATTAATATCGAAGTAAGAATCTGGGCCTCTAAAACCTTGACAGAAAAGAGATGCTATTTTAGAATGGTAAATCCACTCCATTTTATACTTCTGTACCTATTGAGAGAATACATACTCAAAATCCATACAGACAATATTTGAAGTTATAGTTACTCAATGATTCTCAAAATTATTTATTTTGCTGTTCAGTTTTCTTTAGTAAATTTATGTTCTATTTCTCACTTAAATTATTTATCCTCAAGCCTAGATCTGTAATAACTTCCTAATAAATGTGCACTAATAGTAAGCTGCAGAGCTTTTTAAAATGCTTTTAAGATATTTTTTACCTGGTGCAATGCATTTATATTAGAAATCAAAATCTTAGATAACTTTTTTTTTTTTTTTGAAAGACTGTTCTGAAAGGAGTATGACAATTTCCCAGAAAGGTGAATGGCAACTTCCAGCCATCAGGTTAGCAGACGTAGAACCAGACTGGATAAGAGTTTGAAAGGGCTTGTTCTTAATTTAGGTGGGGGCTGAGGCAGTATGGAGTTTAAACACAGTCTGGGCATCTGCTTTGTCCTAAGGGGAAGGATGGAAAAGTTGACCATTACATTCAGATTGTCACTGCCTGATTTTTGTGAGACTTCTTTAACCAAGAAAAAAATAGGAGGAAAGGACAGAAGCGTTAGAAAGGAAGGTGAGTGGTTGTGATGTCTGCTAATTTTAAGAACAAAGAAAAACTGCGTTTTCAAAAAATTGAAAGTGACAGGCTCTGAATTTATCCTTAGTATATCAGAAGGAGCAGTGAAGTACCAGGATGACAGTTTTTCCATGGCCATTCTTTCATTTGTTAGTTAGTGCATTCACTTTTTTTGCTACTAAATTGAAGACTGATTAATGGCTAGATGTACCAAGTCCTTGTCACATTCTAGGCTTCTCATTTTCATATTTCTTCCAGCATTCAAGCAGTCTTCATTCTTACCTGGTCTCCATTCGCTCTTCTTACTACTCTGTGGTTCAGAAAGCGTTCCCTGTTGTGTACTTTCTTTTCTCCACAAGTTTTGCTTCGCCTAGTCCTGTTTCTTAATAATGTGTTGAGAGCTTGGGTAAAAATTTACGTTTCAATATTTTAATGAACATTAGTGCAGTAATTTTTTTCAGTTTTAAAGTACTGGCCTGATTTAGTAGGGTATAACATCTTCACAAAAATATGCTTATTTCTGTCACTGCAAATGTTGACTTGCAGTGGCATTTGTAAATAATAATTCCATTGTCTAGTAGAAAGCAAATGACAGAAGTTGTTTATAGCAAAATCCACTTTTTGCTTATGGTTTGTTGTTTTTTTTTTTTAGTAAAAGGTAGTGTATGTATCATTTATCGCACAAACCCATATTTAGGAGGAGCAGAAAAAGGAGGAAAATTGTTGCATGCAGTGTACAGTTTGTGCTAACCTTTGGGGGAAAACAGTATTGTACATCGTCTACAGTTTGTGTTAACCTTTATTATCACACTAGCTATTTATATAGGGGTTTTTGTGCTGATAATGATGATCCTTGTTACAGGCAGATGCAACGGAAGTCAGAAGCACCTGCAGTCACTTATGCCACATATCGAGGTTCTGCAAGGATTAGGCAGCTACTGAAGAATCAGTCAGAAATGGCTGAAAAAGGAGAAGAAAATACTGAGAACAGAAACGTTTCAATGGTGAAAGAAAATGGAGATATCCAAACAACTGTCTCTCCAAAATCAGGACACTTCATAAAAGAAAATGGAGAAGATGAGGGTAAAGATCACAAAGATGATGTCACAGTAAATTCTTCTGCGGTTAAAATGGGAACAAAAAAGTCTGATAAAGATCGGCATTGCTTGGGTAGCAGTAAACATGAAATAACTACAAAGACCACAACTTCATCTCATGAATCATCTCATGAGATAGACTTAAAACATACACCTGCTTTAGCTGCAACGAAAGTTAAAAGGACATACTCATTAGATTCATTACTATCATCTAGTGGTAGAAACGGTGAGATCCTAACCAGTTCCACTTCCCAGATTGCTAGTTCCCTTAACATGAGTTCTGCAAGTGATTTGATTGGAAAAGAAGTTGGACTGCTGGGAGAAGCAGAAGCTCAGCTTCAGGCAGACAAAAATGTCACTTCTAAATGTGATAAAGAAAATCAGTGTAGTAAAGAAGCTAATACGGACTCCACAAAAGAAATGCAGGATGATTGTTTACATTCACCCAAATTAAAAAATGAGACAGTTGATGAAGAACTGCAAGTGAGTGAGGGAGAATATTGCTGTAATCATCAATTGGATAGTCACTCGGAGCTAACATCAGATGTCCAGATGCTTCATGCCAGTACCACTACATTTCAGCAGCAAGCAGATCAGCATGCAGGTGGTGCAAATAAAGATAGTGATACAAGAAAAAATGATACATGGAAAATTGTGGCAGCTATAGAAAGACAGCAAAATCCACAGAACTTTCTTGCTACTGTTCTGCCTTTTAATGAACAAATACCCCCTTCTCTTAGCATGGAGCCCAAAGGAGAAAAATGCATAGCCACAGGTAATCTAACTACTTCAGTATCATCTATTAAAAATGATGAAGACATAGTCATGGACAGAGGGACTTGTAATGAAGAACTGAGTGAGTTAGGGAAACCGATACACATACAAAATGATTACAAATTAATCCATGTGGAGAATTCTAAAGATAGTGCCACACAGCAGTCTGGTTTACCTTGTCTGGAAACTGGGGGTGTGGAAACAATGGAGGTTTCATCTGAGGTTGCAGTGGAAAACCTTGCCAATGTATTGTCATGCATACATGGGTGTGAAAGTGTGAAATTTAACTTCGATGAGCTGACAGCCCCTCTCTCTCTTACTTACGAGTCTTCTTTTGAAACTGGAGGCTATTGCTCAGCTTCTCTTCATCCTAGCTGCAAGTCCAAAAATAAAACTACAGGAAAAAGAGAAAGCAGTTTAAAAGATGTGAGAGAGGCTGTTTCTCATCCTGATCTTGAGTATGACAAGAGCAAATCCTGTGAGCCTGTAGAAATGAGCCTCTCGGAAAACTCGGTTCCTGCCCACGACCATGGTCCCGTTTGCCTTGAAACTGTTCAAGACATTCCTGCCAAGGGATTAGTTATACTTGCAGAAGATAACACAGCAAAGCCTGCACCTTGCCCTTTAATCACTGTTGACAGGACAGACGATTGTACTCCAGCTGCTTCTAAAATCGACAAGGCTAGTATGACTGAGGTTGCTCTTGTTCCTTCCGAGTGTAAAGATTGCATCTCTGAACTTTCCACTTCTATTTCTAAGTCACAAGAAAAAAACCTGGAGGTTTCTTACTCTGCCTTGAGGTATGGAGGAAGATGTTTGACCAGCAATTCTACTTTCATCTGTGACAAAAACATTGATGTAGACATCACTTCTGAATCTCCACCCATTTCTGAAGATAGGCCTATTAATTTTTCTTCTGAGAAGGAAAACAGTAAGAAGTCTAGGATATCACCCACAGTCCTTGACTCGTCCTCTGACAATCAAGGAAAAATGCCTTCTCCTGCCACTAACTCTGAAAATGGCCAGATTGCTAGATTGTCTGCTGCTTCTGACCAGGACAGTTTTATTCTTCCAGCTGCTGAGCCTACGAGAATAATCCCTGAGGACAGAATGACAGGGTTGCCGTTTTGCTCAGGAGACATGAGAGCTTCATGCCCGGCTGGTTCTCTGGAACCTGAGCTTACGTCAGCTACGCTTGATTGCTCTACTGCTGGAGTAGATGTAGGGGGTATTTGCATCCCCAGCCACTCTTCACCTACTCTGGGATCCAGAGAAGCCTCCAACCTTTCCGTTTCTGCCTTGGAAAGACTGGGCGTTCCTCAGGGGAACAGTAATTCCTCCAGTCACAGAGCTGGCATGGCAGAGGCAAGGCTGTCACCCGTCTGTCCTTGGAAATCTTTGGAAGTGACATCTGAGTCAGCCCGTACTGAGAGCATGTGGAGAAATGCTGTGGGAGAGGTGAGTCTTGGTAACCATGCTGCTGCTGTCTCAGAAGCCCCTTCTGCGACAACGGATCAAACAGCTGCTGCACCTGCAGAGTCAAATGAGTGCTGTTCTGAGGAAGTACAGAAAGATACAGATGTGAAGGGACAAGAAAGTGCTAAATTCCAAGAAGCTGTTTTGTTTAAAAAAGCTGAGGAAATAGCGGACTCAGTTTTACACTTGGCCATAGAAGAAATAATAGCAAAACAAGCCGTCTGTGTCTGCCAGCTTTGTGGGAGCAAGGGTGGTTTAATAAATACGGATATTCTAAATGATCAGAAAGCTGGAACTGTGCAGCTGGAGGCAGAAGAAATCCAGTCAGCTGTGCAGTCATTAAAACATTTTAATGAGAGCAGTGAAGGAGGCTCATCTTCATTTACAGGAAACGCAGCAGTGGATACAAATAATCAAGATAAAAAGATATTATCTTGCATCCCTGATAAAAATGACCTACATAGTGCACTAACACTAAAAGCAAAAGAAATAATTGATGAAGTCATTAACTCAGCCAAACAAAAACTGTTATCCAATCAGTGGCAAGGCAGTGAGAGTAAAAGGCCTTCCGAAAAGATTGAGCCTAAGGCTGAAAGCCCAAATATTTTGAAGCTGGATATGAAGTTAACTGCCAAAACACAGGAACCGACAGAGAAGGCAGAAACTCAGCGTGTAACTGTAAACTGCACAAAAGCAGATTGCTCAGGTCCTCCTTTACTTCCAAATAGTATGGAAAATGGCATGGATTGGTCCCAAAGTGGTGAAAATATACCAAATAATGCATTTACATGTCAAATAAATGGATTACTACCCACTGGTGTTTCAGCAGGGCCAGAATCAGATCTTATGATACCAGCCAAAGAGAGACAGGATAGAAAGGTGTGTGAACATCTGGCTGCAGCAGAGTTGTGTGGCAAAGCTGGAGTATCAACCGCTAGTAGAATATCTGATGGATCTTTACATTTAATACGTAGAGATGCTACTGTGACTGAAGAGATGCTTCTGTCCTTGCAGTTAAAAGATTCATGCAATAATACGAGTGTGCCACAGTGCACATTGCTGCCAACTGTAAATGTTAATTTGTCGTCTTTTACGCCTGAAGAAGAGTGTATCAGCGTGCAGAGTGAATCCAAAGACAAAAGCAGTCCTCAGGGTTCTGTAGAAAGCAGTGCAGAGGACAGTCCGTATGAACCCTGCGGAAGAGAGGCTGCAGAAGAAGTACCTGCACAAGTAAAAGCAGCCTTAGAAGATTCAAAGGCAGTGGAGAGTGAAGAGGAACTAGCAGAAGGAGCAAGCGAGATAGCAGAGTTTAATACTGAATTAAATATACAGTTCGCTGTACCTGAATTGTCTGTTATTGGAGAGAGCAGTGAAGGGAAAAACTGCTTCAGCTCAGTCTTTGCCCAAAATAATGAGAATCTGCAGCAAGTACAAATGAAGGCTCAAGACATGAAGAGAAGTGATCAGCTTGAACAAAATATTCTGGACTGTGATGATGACATGAAGGAATCAACTAATCTTTTGGCCTTTTCTCCACTGATTGAACAGTGGGAAAACAGTTCTTTTACTATCATTTACGAAGGTGCCCTTAAAACTGAGAGCAAATATGTCTCAACTGATGATACGCAAACTGATCCGCTTTCTTCTTCTGTTCTGCCTTTGGGTAGTGTAGATCATCTAATGTGTGAAAGAGCAAAGAATAAACATGAGCCACCCTGTCTTTATGGGAAGGATAACCAACTGAATGAAGCAACAGATAGCTGTAGTTCAGAGTCATTTCTGAATGTGGAGGCCAAGCGCTATAGAGTATATCCTTTCTCTTTGTCTCCAATATATGAAGATGACAGCTCCCAAGAAGATTTACTTTCCACAGACGTGTCGCCAGAAGGCCATCCTAGTGGAATATCTAAAGAGAGCACTGATCACGCTTCTGTGTTGTCCCTTCTCCAGTCAGTTTCTGAGCGCTTACAGTTTACTACTCAGTTTAGTAAAGAGGATGAGGAGGAAGGAATGGAGGAGGAGGAAGAATCATCATATCAAGAAAATACACTTGATGTTGAGAGGGAAGACAACTGTCTTTCCAGTCAGTGGAGAGGCAATTTGAAAACAACTCTTCAATCAAATGACCAGAATAGATCTTTGTTTCCTGAACAATCACCTCTTCTTTCAAAAGAACAGCTTGACTCTAAGGAGCAACCAGAACTGTTTCCAGATGTGGCTTCTCCCAGTCAAACACCTTGTAAGCCAGTTTCACAGACAGCTGATGCTGCTTTAAAGTGTCCTCCTACAAGTGCATACTACCAGTATTGGAAATCGGCCAGCAATTGCTCCTCTGAGAAAGGGCCCAGGTTTGGAAGCATTCTCCAGGATATGTTGCAGCCGAAGATTCATTGGTTTCAAGACAACACCATGCCAAAACTGGGAGAATTGTCAGCGGTAAGATGTCATGTCATGTAATCTTAATAATCAAAGTGATTAGCCTAGATGCAAAATTGCTGTCTCCCTGTTCTCCTGCCTCACTTTTTAAGGTGAATTCTTTTATCATAAATGAAAGTAATTAGGCTGTTTAAGATCATAATTTAAAACAAAGAAACTCTTCTGATTAAAATAATGTTTTAAAACATAGTATTCTTGATTCAGTACTCAGATGAAAGTGAAAATTGTAAAATAGAAGATGGGAATAGGAAATGTGCATAATAGCAAGTCTGTGTAATAGCAAAACACAGACTTACTCATGTTAAGGACATTTCAACCTGAAGATGATGGAATTGCCTTTTGTGTGAAAATTGTTCTTTCTTTTCTTCTGAGATTAGTAGAGCTATATTGTCTAAAAATTATAAATATCTGCTTACTGGGCTATTTGGTTGTTTCATCACAGAGTCTTCTACAAATTGTAGTTCAGTTAGCAAGTAAATGATATAACTGCTTCTGTAGATTAGCACTTCTTTTTTAGTTTATTTAAAGCAGTGGCAGATGAGGGTATGGAAACAGTTCTTGCAGTATTTAGAAAGTGAAAATGCCACATAGACTGAATGCATAACTGAAGAAGAAAGTCTTTCCATGCTTTTAGGAATATTTCAGTCTTTGTTAGAGTTCTGTTTTGGTTTTGCCACTGTTAAGACATGCAGTTTATTGTTTACTGGGAAAGGGTATAACTTCCATACTAGTTCTGCCTGTCTAGTCTTGCTGCTTTCTGCTGATTGTTTGATTCTGTTAAACTATTTACACCAAGTCTGAACGACAGTGAAACAAACCTTGGTTGTTTCTGCTAGTGGCAGTTGCATACATTTATAGGAATAGTGGACCCAGAATAATCTGTCTGTGCTTTGTGCTGCTGTTTTAGATATTAACCGTTGTTTTCCATGTCCTTGTAATTTCAGAACCTCATTAACAGGGCAAGTCTCAAATGCAATCCAAGACCAGGAAAGGTGAGCAGAATTTGTCACATAGATCCATATGATACATGGAATAGTTTGTTATACCAAAATTTTTGAAAGTAAAGCATCTGAAGTTGTTAGTCTACTTTTCTGTATTTTAACGGTGCATATGCTTGGACTTGCTAATAATGAGATTATATCATTAAAAATCCTGCCACTAGTAATTTTGCTGTATTTCTATCAGCGACTGCTGGTTTAGTTCAGTTTCATAAAAGAAGAAAATGTGTAGTGTATCAATTGAGTGGGCGCAGGGTGAAATAAGTTTTATTCTAAGCAAGAAGTAACTGTCTACACTGTATGTTGAAATGGGCCCTCATTCATATGCGTTGTATGTTGTTTCAGATTGTTATTTATGATATTTATGGCGACAAAAGGAAACAAGAAGTTCATTCTGATGTGCTAGATACCACGTCCTGGGTCTTTCCCGTTGGAGCATTACTTAGGATAATTAGAGGATGGTAAGAAATCCAGGTCATATTTAAATAGAGCCTTTCCAAAAGACTGTATATGTGTTTCTCTTGTATTTTCATTTGTTTTATTTATGACACATGTCTGATCTGCAAGAGTGTCTCTTTCTTTCTTTATAGTTAGACTGATACCAATGAAAAAAGCATGAAAAAAGGCTTCAAATGCTGCAATAAAAAAACCCCAAATATTGTTTCTCCTGGGAACTAGCTTCAAACAGAAAGTTTCTAATAGAACCACAAGTAAGTTTAGACTGCTTGCCAGACCGTGCTGAGGCAGTACAGCCACAATCATCATTAGAAGCATGCATATGCCAAAGAAAATGTCATTTTTTTACAGATCAGTTTCATTATACAGTAGCTGTTGTGAAAGGAGCATAACATGAGCAATCTCAGGTGCTGTTTGTAACATAGCATTTAGAGGTACGTGGATGCAGAAGGATGTACGAGTACCTTTAAGGTAGATTGTGGAAGTGTTTCTTGGTTTGCTTTGGGAAACTGGGGCTGGGACCATGTCAGTTGTTGCTTTGGAATTTAATTGGTGGTGCTTACAGTGAATGCTTCTGACTGTCCGCCATAGTAACAACGCATGTCACATTTATGCAGTTTTGAGGCAGCCTTGTTTGGTTTTGCATATATTTTTTTCACATCCTGAGAAATACTGAATGCCGTTATTAGTGTGTATGTGTTTTATGCCTTGCATAGTGTCTGCCTGAACGTGACATGTTTTGATGCGTCAATTAATAAATTTGTTCTGATAAAATAGGCTTTTTATTTACATTGTGTTTTAGTGGTATTTTTATACAGTTAATATTTGAAGTTATGTTAGACTAAGTCCTGGAGAACTGTGTGTTTTAAAGCACAGAAGTACTAGCCCCGTATTTATCTAAAGTGAATGTGACTACTGAGGGACAGCATAAGAAAGGTCTGATAGGTGGCCTGATAAGAAGAGCTCCTTACTGAGCTTTCCAGAAAATGTGCTGTATAAGGACAGCAGGACAGCCTTACCTAACAGCAACAACTCAGTTCATAATATCATTATTACAGTTGGATTTTTTATGAGAAACCAAAGTTCCAGGGTCGGAAATATGTACTAGAAGAAGGAGAGACTGTGCTGGATCACCTTTGGGATCTTCCGGGAGTGAAACATCGTCGAAGAAACCTGACAGTTGGTTCAATCAAACATGTAACAAAGGTATAGACTTTGTTAATAATATACTCGTATAGATAATTAATGTCTGTTGGCAGTAGTGGAGTATTATTAGCAATGGACAATGTGTGTATACTGTGTTTCTGATTTGATTCAGATTTGCTATGAATCACATTTTTCATGCTGAAGATAAATGCCAGGGCTTTTGCTGCACGAAATTTCCCTTTCTTCCCAAAGGTAATGAGCAGATAGATTATTTTTCATTGCTACCACCTTTATCTGACACAGTGACTTCCTGCCTTTTGGATGTTTACCTGTCCAGTTAATTGAAATTAAATGGATCAATTCATATTTTTCAAAGTGGTGTTTACCTTAAGCTATCCGCTGTGTCTGTATGGCTTCTGTTTCGGAAGTTAGTAGTTCATTTCTAATCCCATTTGTACTGCGTAGCCTCCAAAAGTTACTGTTGCTCCCTCTACAGCTTTGTGCCATCTCTAGGGGTTCCACGTGGACAAGTGGTCCATCTACAGCATCTGGCTCTGCATACAGCCAGAAGTTTAAAAGCCTTTTGTTGTAAAGATAGAAATCAAATGCCCAAACCGAAATATAATGCATCCATTGTTATTCAGTGAATGAGGAATGTATGTACCAGATCTTGTGATTTAGGAAGACTTAGTGTGCTTGCTGTTTAGCATAACATTCCAGTTATTCACAGGGCAGTGGCCCTTTATTGCAAGTGAATTATCAGTTCTATCGCAATGTGAATGTTTTTCAGAAAAAGTGGTGTTTCTCTGTTCTTTGCTGGTATAGAGGTCGTTTTAAAATTGATAACCTTTTTGTTGTCAGTACAGGGACATAGTATCATAACAGCTAGGAATACTTTTTCATTCTCTTAAAGCCTTAGCAATAAATAAATAAATTCAAAAGTGGCTGACTGAGGGCATGAATAATGAAGTTAACATTTATTTGAGCTAGACAAATTAAAAGCATTTGACCAATACGCAGAATGAATATTGATCAATAATGTGGAAGGCAACTAAATAGTTAAAGAAATGCCACAGTAACATGTGGAACTATGGTCTGAAGCCAAGGGAAGCTGCGTGTGTCTTGGCTATCAAAGAAAAGCCTTGGATAAGAAAGACACTGTGGTTAGCTTCATCATGCTTGATAAAAATCTTTGCAATACAGCTAAGTAGGTTCAAGAGTTGTTATTCCAGTATGTGGTTCATTTGTATGGAACACAGATGGAAAGCTTTGTTACAGTACACTAGTTCGGTAATCCATACTGTTTCTCATGTAACTTCAACCTCTGTGGGAGGACTTTGCTGTTAGTCCACAGGGCTGTGTGGCACTAGTGTGGGTGTGGAACTTCCTAAGCTGGGTTTCGTCCTCTAAACCTTGATTCGTGACAGCATTGCTGGTTTTTAGGTTGTACTTCAGCTGCTGTGGAACTGCTTTCTAAAAGTAGTTTGGCAAAGTGGTACCTTTTTTTATTTTTTTTTGTGAAAAATATAGGCATTGTTTTTAATTGACAGATAGCTGTTTCTTTTTCATGCAGCGCATGTGTATGTGATATGCAGGGTGACATGTTTTAGTGTCATTCTTTTTTTCGTAGGTTGGGTAGCTCAGTGGTTTTTCTCCTGCCTAGTTTGGTCATACTGGCTGTGCGTCCAGGCTGTCTGGCTTGTCTTCTGATTCTTCAAGTGGCTTTTTATGGTGCTTGTTTAATGGCTGCTCAGATGCCTTGAGTTACAGATTTGAAAGATGGCTAAATATTTGAGAAGAAAATGGCTTGCCAAGAAGACAAAAACAGATGTTTACTAAAGAAACTGTAGGAGGTACATTTAAAGTTGTTTTTTGGGAGGTGTTTTTTGGGTGTGGTGTTTTGTTTTTTTTTACTGGCAGATGTTAGTTTGCTGAGAAACAGTTTGCCAGTAGCTTCATCCTCTGATTTGGCTTCAAGCCTCCACAAAAAGCAAAGGTTCTGTTAGTTTTGTGGTTAGCCTGTGGCTTGACTTACTGTGCATGCACATTAGATGTATCCATGTGTGTTTAATTTGAAGGAACTTAGGAGGCAGAAGAAAGATCCCAAAGGAACAGATTGTGCAATTACTGAAGTGGAGACCTATTTGAAGTAACAGGGAGTCTGAATTCCACTACGGCCAGTCAGCAAGAGCCTAGGCTAGCAAAATCTGCCTACACGTGCAGGTTTAATGCAGCTTCTGTAGCACAGTCTGTTTAGCCAAGTCAGTTCTCTGGTCTACTGCAAATGCATATATTGATCTTATGGAATTGGAGGGCTTTTTCTTTCTGTTGCTGGAAGCCCAAAGAGGGTGCTAAATGTTACTTTCCCAAAAACAAGAGCTGAGAAGAATTGCTGATGTTTCCATTCTGGAGTAAGCTTGCAAACCACTATTTTGCAAGGTGACAAGAAAACTGAAACAGCACTTTGTAATCTCTGTCTGCAAGATGGTTAGGGAGGGAATGACTGAATTCCTTGTGGGCTCTCCTTAGGTAAAGCTCTTTGTAATGGGAATGTTCACAGTGTTACGTGAAGGGTGTGTTTCTTTTGTTTGTGTGGCTTGCTAGGTGAAAACAAGTTATCAATTCAAGCAAGGAGTGCTTTGTCGGATGCCATAGGAAGATGCTATAGGAAGACACCCAGCAGCATCAGATTGTCTCATTTGCTAGTTGGTATTTACAGGACATTAATCGTTAATTTCCTTAGTATTATTTTAGTACTAGCCCTGTTGAGTTCTGTAGTTTGGTTTAGTGGTAATGGATGGTAGCAAGAGTGGTACAGAGCAGGAGACCTGGGAGAAAGAATTATGAATGGGTAAAAAAGGCTGGAGGACCAACAGAGAATAAGATTTAAAATAAAAAATGCTGCAGAAGCTGGCATGTCCTAAGAATGAACTGTGTATCAAAAGTAAGATGTGTGTCTAGACTGTATTAAAAAGCAATCGTGTGAATACCAGAACTAATTAGGCCTGGTTTTCAATAGACTATTCTGTCATCATTGTTTTGGTATTTAGCTTAAGAAGCCAGACTTCGGTCATTCTTTGTCCTGTGGTTGACATAAAAGGCCACCTTATATAAATAGGCTATTTTGGTCACTTCTTCAGTCACCACAGCTTACAGCTGAAAGTGGAAGACCTAACAGTGCTGAAAATCAGTCCTGCTGGTCCGCTTAGGGCTGTAACACTAGATACAGAAGAAGGGTGAGCAGCCAAGACCACCTGCAGGGGGTTGAAAGCTCTGGGTCTCTCGCTTACGGTGGAGCTCTTCATGGGACTAGAAAAACGTCAGAGATGCCACCAAAGAGTAATATTTAATGCTAAGGTCTTGAGGATTGTCTTAACCCGCTTCAGAAGAAGCCTTAACCTTTCTGCTGAGGGACATGTTGCTGTTTTGGACCATGTCTGTTCTCTGCAAGGTAGCACAAGTATTCCCCATGCTTTTGTAAACATCTGTGCTCCCAAAAGACCCTGAGGGCAGCACAGGCACTCCGGGATGACTGTGTGGAGGTAACCAGAGAATACCGCAGAGTAAAGGAAGACAGAGTGGGATGCCTGAAGGCTGTGGCCTACCTAAACATTTGCTGGTTGTGTGTTATCGTTGGAAATGAACACAGCTACCTAATCTGTTTGCTGTGCTTTTTATTCTGTTTTTGCCTGACGTGTCAGTAGGATAATATGGCATGAGTTTTGACTGCTTGTGATGAGGGTGGCAGGGCTGGAGGGGGGGGAAGGGAGGAAACTTCCCGGTTTTGGATCTGGCCTGAAACACTGTGACAATAGTTTTGCATGGTGATGGTTTTGCATGTGGATATCTTATTTGAAAATCTTGACACCTTGCAAATGAAAGGGCTTCGGACCAAAGGATCTAGTTCTCCACCTGAGTGCTATCATATTTGTGTGGTTTTCATTTTGTTTCTAAAGACGGTGGCTTTATTAGGAATGTTAAAAAAGCCTCTGAAAGTAATGATGCCTATTAAATATGCTCAGACAAATATGAACATGCTGGGGCAAATATTTACCAGGCTAAAATTTATGTGCTTAAATTATATAAATTAATGGCATAGTACTTGAGTGTACATCTGCAAGTACATAGTGTTCACCTCATACAGTAATAATAGATTTTACCATTTTCTGCAGTCTGTGGATCCTACATATCTGTGGATATGTAAATTGAACTCAATGTTTAAGTGAAAATGTACCTTTGTGATTTTTTAAAAATGTGCTTAGAAGGTATAATGTACTTCTTGCTTTAACAAGTTTTACATTTAAAAATATATACTCAAATTTCTCTTGATGAAGACCTCAGTTTACTAGGTGACACTTTTATGAAGGGACTTTGTGGACTTCATCTAGTACATACAAAAATACTACTACGATGAGTTGAGTTTTTTATGACTGTCAAAATCTGGCTAGAGGGAGATGGTGATAAATAGGAGAGATTTTATTATGAGTGCTTGTGCTCTACCTATCCTTTGGAGAACTGCTACGTTCTTCATCTGTTGAGGTGCAGCCTGCCTCGTGAGCTTCAGAGTCAGGAAAGCAAACTGGAAAAGAGAATACAGACTGGCTTTCTCCGATCTTCAGATGAAAAAAACAAACAAACCCCAACCTCCTACTGAATTAAAATTAAACATATTCTGTCTCATACTCTGTCTGAGCCCGAAGGCAAAGGTAAATTATTTTGCCACTTGTCTAGCCTTGTAGGTACTTAGTTACAGAATTTATCTGAAACCAGTAAGAGTCTAGCATCATTATTTGTGGAATTCTTATAGGTGTAATTTCTGATTTTTCCATATCAAGCTTTATTGTTGGATTCACAGATTTCAGCTTTCTCACATATCAAGTATTAGAAAAAAACCTCGAACTTCAAGTATTTATTAACTGTGATTTAATAAGGTACATATATGTATGAAAACTAAGAGAAGACTTGGTTTTTTAAACTTGTTTAGCAATACACTTAGAATTGAGGAATGGTGTTACTTAGCACTTTGCCATAAAGTCACATAGTACTAGAAAGTCTTTTTTCCTACTTTTTCTGTTTCTGCTTATCTGAAAATAAAAATTCTGATATTGCAGCTTTTGTCCTGAAAATAAATAACATGCATTGTTTGTGAGGTACAATACAGAGGAAACACGATTGTGTGTGAGGGAGAGTTGCCAAAACAGTGTACTGTATTACTTCAGGTCTCATGAGGAAAGTGAAGTAATATCCTGAAGTTCATGTATTATAATTGCCATATTTATTGCTGACAGTTAAATAAGTACTGAAAGAACTTTGCTAACCAAGAAGTAGTGGGTTTCTAGCTGGGATGTTAGTCCATGGTTTGAAAGCTCCATTCAACCTGTGTGAAAAGGGAAAGCATGCAGGTGGTGTTGTGAGTTGAGGTGCTGTAACTTTAAGAGTTTTTGTGCCTTGGTGCTGAGTTTCTCTGAAAGCTCTTGTGTTTTTCCTTTCGGGTCTGGCAGAAGTCACACGCCATGTGGGACCTCTGTAATGAAGTGACCCTGCCTGGCTCTTCAGCAAATCCAGTAACCAGGTGCTTCAGTTGAGGGCACCCTCAGGTCCAGCTTCCCATCCCTCTTCTCTAGTGCACATGCACATCTTCCTCAGCCACACTGAGCACTTTCAGGGTCTCTTTGTGCTCTCCAAGCCCTTGGGCCCAACAGGAGGATAAGGGGAAGGGTGCTGCAAAGTTATCACTGCAAGCTGAGTGTTTCCAGCTGCAGCTGAGCAAACTGTAAGCCTTTCGCTGTAACAGGAAGCTGTTCTGTAACGCAGTGCTGAAGCAGGGCCATATAGAAGATGCTCACGGATTCATGACGTGTTTGAATCCTGGGAAAGAAAGTATTTGCAATGCAGTTTATGTAAATATTATTAAATTCATATGGCTCAATAAAATCCCTGCAAATTCTAAGTTGTTCTCCAGCATGATATCTATCAATAGAAAGCCTCCGGTAAGGTAACAGAGGTTGTTGCTCCAAAGTAACAGAAAAATTGCTCAAGTGTCTACTTAACAAAATAAGTGTATTCCAGGGCTGTTCTTCTTTCTTTGTCTAAAATGCTGTAGATTTATTTAACATGACAGAAAATTTAACTCATATGGCTTGAAACCAGAGTTGGATGCATAATGGAACCTAATTATCACAGAATCACAGAATGTTAGGGACCTCTGTGGGTCATCTAGTCCAACCCCCCTGCCGAAGCAGGGTCACCTAGAGCAAGCAATTGTCATGGGGAGGGGAAGGCGGGAATGAAGTAGTAGACATTTCTAGAAAGTGTGAGTTACGCATGCGTCATATGTATCTATATGGGTGTTACAGAAGCACTGTCTTTAAAATAAAGAAAAAGAAAGAAATATTATATGCGTGGTTTTTCTATCAGTAAATGCTATCAGATCCTTTACTTGCAGGATATTTCACTGAGCTTTTTTGAAGGTAACCCAACAGGCATAAATGCATAGTTTTTCTTTGAAAGTTAGTGGGAGCTGAAAATTTACTTCCCTTAGCTTTTCTAAAAATCCCAGTCTTCATTTAAAAAAAAAAAAAAACAAAAGCCTTCTATCATGTGAAGCCCAGAATTAGATTAGAAGGACAAGAAGACAGGGAGAAAGAAGGAAATGTTACTGGTCCTTCCCCCGCTGCAGTAGGGCAGACTCTGTGAGCGTGGATAAGCCTTACCCTTTGATTTGCTTCCACAGGACTGTGGCGTTCCAGAGATAGAGTTCTGCCTGGGAGCCAGCACAGAGGGACTTCCTATCTGCATACAGAGAGCAGTTGCCAATTTGGAAGAACTGGATGTCGAGAAAAACCCTTACATAAGTGTCAAATCAGGAGTGTGAGTACTGAACTCAGTATTTAGTCAGCAGGTAGGATAACATCATGGGTTGAAGGTCAGTCGGTGATAGAAATAATATTTTGGGGTTCTGCTAGAAATCAGTTAACATACACTAGATATTCATAGCTCTACTCTTCAGTGTTGTGCTACGTGGGCTCACAGCAGTGGAACCAAATTTTTGAAGGCCTTTTTCCTCTAGTTGCTGGCAGAAGTCTTCTGTAATTCCATCTTTGAGTATCTTTATAAATAGAAGAAGCAGCTGAGCTATAATTAGCTTTTAGTTCATTGGAGAATGGATAGTGTATACTTAGTCACCCACCCTGTTACAACTAAATGGCTGAATGCCAGAAAGTGAGTATTGCATCATCCAAGCATTCCTCAAGCTACAGAGATATCCTGACTTTCTGCAAAGAGGTGATGCAATAGGATACAGGCCCCTTCAGTAGCCCAGCGTTTCCTATATAGAGCAGAATAGACTAATCTCCAGGGTAAACGGCGAACACTTCACAGTTCCTGAAGTTGGGGAATTCTGTGCCTCTTCTCATAAATGATTGCAGTGACATTAGCTGTTCTGTTAAGAGTCTTGGGTTTGCCTTTCCATGTGAGCCAAGCCTTCCTTCCCATGATTTTACAAGATTTGCGTGAAGCTTGAGGTTGTGAAGGAATTAAAAGTTTTTTGTCTTAGTTTTGGTAGAACTTAGTCGATAACTTTTAGGTGCTTACAGTGTGTGTGTAGCGTGTGTGTAGTTTTAAGTAAGTAATTTTCCATATGGCTCAATGCCTCTTCCTCCTTTCCTTATTTGGTGTACTAAGCCTTGTGTCCAAATTCTAGAATTCAGCTTTCTTTCTGATTTAAAATAGTCTGAAGGAGTGTCAGCGTTTTTAATCTTCGCGTCCAAATTATGATAGCCTGCTTTCCAAAGGACTGCTGTGAATTATCATGATTTAACAATTTCCACTGAAAAAGACTAAGTGAGTTTGATGTTAGAAGCCTTTTAGTTGTTAAAGTAGGAATCCTAGGTAAAATTTGATGCGTCTCATCCAAAGTACTGGCGTTGGTTTTGTATGCTTATAGTGTAACAAACTGGCTTCTTAAAGTAACTAAACAAATTGATAATTTTCTGAGATCTTGGTGTTGATGTTGCCAGTGTATTTAAATAGAGCATGGTTTTGATGTGCTAGCAGTATCTAAAACACATTGTCTAGCTCTGATGAGTAGAAAAAAAAAATTTTAATAAGATCGTTGCATTTGTAATGTATCTGATGAGATTAAGAAGTCCTTTATCCTTATTGTTATAGGTGGCTTGCTTATTCAGACTTTAATTACAAGGGAGAGATGAAGGTTTTGGAAGAAAGCCATTCACCATCTGAAATTCCTTCAGCAGATGTGAAATCTCTGCGTCCCTTAAAAATGGTGAGGACTTCATGATTCCCTAACAAGTCCTGTGCCTTCCTTTTCCTACCATTGCTCCCCCAAAGGTTTTGATCTAAATATAACTTAGGTTCTAGCATCCTTTTGGGGTTAATCCTTATACACATAATACTTCTCTTGCACCATGGTGCATTTGTAGTGTTGTAGTGGCACGGTGGTCATGTGTTTCAGGGCTTGCTGAGCCTCTGTATCTGCCCAAGTAAGAACACGTAGTCAGAGGGAGCACATAATTCCCCAGGTCATCTTCCTAGGGAACTGCTGTTGTCCAGTGGAGATCAAAGAAGACAAAACTGAATGACTCGTAATTGTATTGCAACCAACACTAATTAGTTAACTAAAAAAGCTCTTCAGAAGCTGTTGATTTTCTTTTTTAATGGTACACCTAGAGTCTGCTGGGGGTGGAAGACCAGGTGAGGAGTTTGTTATTGAAAAGTACCCAGCAGTATTCCTGTGATCACACATTATACGGAAATCCTGGGAGGTGCAGCTAATTTTTGTTTTGATAGACAGCATGTAGATCTAAATATGAAAGAGATATTGAAAGGTATAACATCTAATTCTACTGTATACATACCATAAGTCTACAGAAAGAGAGTTTAAAAGCCACAAAGGAATAAGCCCCAACAGCTGTCTTTTTAGTCGCTCATGGGATGTAGGTACCTTACTCTCCCACAGAACGTCATTCACTGACATTTCCAGAGAAAATGCATTTGTTCTGTTTGCTCTTTGACCATAGACATGAATACATCAGTCTGTATTTTCTGTCTCTTCTGGTGTTTATAGTTTCTTAGTGTTTCATCATTTGTGCTTAAGGAAGTTGAAATACATACAACACGGTTTTAGAAGTTACAGTTTAAAAAATGGTAAATGCAAATTAGTTACAAAACACATAGTAAATATTTGCTTTAGAGTGCTAAAAGACAGAAAAGGAATATTTTAAAATTACTTGAACACCTATGGGCTTGTCATTGCATGATTTTGTTTGTAGATCAGGTTTATAGTGTCCCTGGCCCTCAGGAATTATCAGAGTATTTAAACTAGTTTTTGATTTGGCCAGCACTGAAAATGGTGAATATAATTACAAGGCCCTCATGCTCTAGTAGTACTGTAAAATATGTGTCAAAGCATAACTGAAGCATAGGAAGTTCCATCTGAACATGAGGAAGAACTTCTTCACTCTGAGGGTGACGGAGCACTGGAACAGGCTGCCCAGGGAGGTTGTGGAGTCTCCTTCTCTGGAGATATTCAAGACCTGCCTGGACAAGGTCCTGTGCAGCCTGCTGTAGGAGACCCTGCTTCGGCAGGGGGGTTGGACTAGATGACCCACAGAGGTCCCTTCCTACCCCTACCATTCTGTGATTCTGTGAACTTTAAGTTTTACATAAGTATCTTTTTTGTCTCCCATCTTCTTTTAGGGTGGACTAAAGGTACAAATGCCGATGAATGTCAAGGTAAGCACTGAGGACACTGAGAATAAAATATGATCACACTGGAAATAAAAAAAACTTTATTTAGGCTGTTTCCTTTTTGTTGGGTATGTGATATTTGATTAAGTATTCAGTGTTTGCTGCTGAAGGAAGATTCACTAATGCTGTCAAGTCCACTTTCTTACTAGTGTTTCAAGAGATGTAGAAGTAGTAGTTTGTTTTTTACATACTAGGAGAATGTGAATAGAAGAATTGTAAAGCTTTTACAACATAAAATCAGTTTTCCTGACTGACACATCAGTGTCTGTAATTTAAAGGTGTCAGAAGAGATTTTCCCATTTAACATACCAAGTTCAGAAAAAAAAAAGGGGGGGGTGGGAAGGGAGGAGGAAGGAGGCAGGAATAGGACCCTTCCTTTGTATACCTGATACCAATACAAGAGTCATGAGCGAGACCATGACCCTTCTATGATTTGAGGAGCAGAAAGCTACTCCAGAGTTATTGCTCATTTTATTTCCTTTTTCTAGTTCTCCAGAAAAATGCTAATGCTTTAGGTAACTTTTAATTATACAAATACATGCAAGACTCAGGAGTTTTTCTAATAAATATTGCGATACATATTAATACTAGTGATAGCACATCTGTGCTGTTTGGCAGCTGAGGAGCCCAGAGGATTTGTGTTAACTGCAGTCACTGAAATAATTTCAGCAAAGTACAAAGACCTTTTGTCTAGTTTTGAAGAATTAAGCTCTGTGTGCCTAGCTATGACCAGGTAAGATTCACTGCAGGCTAATGTACACTGCCGGGGCACAGTGTTACAGGATAAATCACAGTCATACAGCTGCAGAGTGCTATTATGTGTATGTGTGAAGAAGTATCCTTCTGTGAAAATGTCTGCAAATAGCCTGACGAGCCTATCTAGATCCAAATAGGGTCTTTTCAGCTTCTAAGGCACTCAATCAGCAGGGCTGAGGAATGCCACCATGAATTTTCTTTGTGGTGGTGACTGATTGGATGGGGGAAAAAGTGTCTGCCACATGCTGTAGCAGTACACACACCCAGACTTCAAATTGCTATTCAGGACATACTCAAGGCTTTGTTCAACATCATGTTTTCTAGCTAATAATATATGAGAAAACCCACTTTGAGGGATGGTCCAAAGAGTTTTCAGAAAACATCAGTTCTGTCCCAGCTCTTTTTGGTAGTGAAGAGGAGTTTCAGGAAATCAGATCAATACGTGTCATTGGTGGAGTGTAAGTATATTTCACTTTTGTATTTATTTAGTTTAAAATAGGAAATCATAACTAAATGCTAAGAAATGCTAAGTGGTGATTAGAATCTTTCACTGGTAAAAACATTATGAAAAGAATGGAATATATATTGTCAATTATCAGCCTTAGATAAAATAACCTCTCTATGGCTTATCTATCTAGGGGAGTATAGGAAGGTAAAACTAAGTGTGTGAGAGATGTGAAGTCAGTGTTTACAGTTTGGATGCCAATACACTAGGCCACTTTGTTCCTTAACGACAGCATTCACACAGAGCTTTGATTAGTATGGCTTTAAACTTCTGATAGTCTCTACTTAATTTACTCAAATGGCCTTAGGTAGGAGTGGTCAGTCTTCAGTTCGACATTTTAATGCCTCTGAAATTGATAAACTGTTTTATTGTCTTAGTGGTTTTCCTTTGTCACCAGTTGAATATTATCTGGAATTAAGAATTCGCCCTTATTTTCCTTCATGGAGGCCTCAAATTGCTTCTGTGTTGCCACGCCCCTCTCCGTCCTACGCATACACATGCACAAAAAGGGCTGTGTAACACAGTCCTCAGGTGGACTGCTTGCGAGGTAGGCTCAGCGCCAGCTGTTCTAGAAAGCTACCAGCCCCATGTGTTGTTCTTTCAGCCTCTCCCAAGACCCAACAGGACAGGACTATTTGAAAGCAGGCAGGATGGTTGCTTCTGCCAAAGAGCTTAGCAATAAAAGAGTTTTCAGAAACTTTCCTTTTTCTTGGGGGATTTCAGTGTTAATGCTTCAATATAAAGATTTAATAACATATATCTTTTCAGGCTCTTGTCAGAATCTTACAAGCACTAAATTCAAAATAAACTTAATTGTGACTACTTAAATAATCTATTCATAAATACATTATGTTATTTGCTATCTGGGAAGCCTCAAATTATTAAAAATCATCCTTTTGTCTGTTGTGGCGGCTTTTATTTTTCATACTGCGGTAACTTAACAGCTGAGTTAATGTAAACCAAATGGTACGAAAAGTAATGCTATCCCTGCTTGCCAAATTTCAACGTCGACGCAGCTTGTACAGCAGTTCTAATACTTACAAGGAAGTTTTAATTAAATAAATGCATACAAGAGGGAAAGGAGGAGAGGGAAACACTTTTTCAAGTGAAGTTCCATTAGAGCTTTCAAAGTTGATGTGGAAATGCTTTCTTTTAGTTGACCCTGATCTATTTGTTCAAGATACATTTAAAAAAATTTTATTCCCATAGTGCTAAAATATGTTGTGTATGCAATATATTGTGTATATTCAATTCACTTGTCTATTCATATATATGTATGTGTTTGTAGATTAGGGCAGGAAACAATATAAGCAGGTGAAATTTTGTACTGCTGAAATCCATTAATTTTGTCACCAGATCCAGCAAGGGTAGAATCTGGTAATTTATTAATACACCAAAGAGACAAACTCTTTGGTTTTTCTCACTGACAGATGTTCGCTTACAGTGTTTTGGCCGCTAAATGTGTACTGGCCTCTGTAGTACTGAGTATTGTTATTGGGAATATGGCTGACCGAGAGGAGGTATGTGGAGAAGCATTACACAAATAAACTGTTGTTAAAGAAAGAATCACATGGTGAGATTTTGATCCACAAAGAATACTTCATGGGTTCTTGCTGTGATTTCAAACAAGCATTGCTTTGTTAGCTGAGTCTGTGACACTCATCGTAGTGTTCTTAGGGTGTTCTCTTCCCCTTTCATTTGTTATGAAAAATCGTGTGTGTGGTTGTTCTGCTTTCAGTTACTTCTCTTTTGTTATGTGGTTGCTGTAGGTGGGTTGCCTACAATAAGGAACGCTACAAAGGCCATCAGTACTTGCTGGAGGAGGGAGATTATGAAGACAGACACTCATGGGGGGGAACTGACGGTGTCCTGTCTTTCCGGTTCCTTCAGGCTGTAAGTACTTTTGTGAATTTCACACAAATTATGCACAGTTCTATACATAAAGAGGAAGGTTATTCTTCATATATGGTACAGCTGTCTTGGGTTTGGTCATTCCATCTTTTGCCCAAGTTCAGTCACATTCTTTTCCTATGTGCTGAAATTTAGACTGCAGCATGTACACTGTAAAACAGAAGCAGGTTCTAAATAGCCTTTGTAAGGTTCATACAAAGAATGTGTCGTCCAGAATTCCTTGTTTCCCTGCCAGATGCCAGTGCACTTCTGCACTGTAAGCTGTTTGCATCTCTAGAACAGAATTCTCTTAAAAGTTTAGCATGTGTACATGTACAGTGTAGTTCTTGATTAAAATAAAAATAGCTTTTCAACACAGCAGCTGTTGCAAGCCTTTAAACAGCATTACCCTCTGTCTCTGTGATTTTTGTGCCAGAAAATTTTGGCAGCAAAAATAATCACGGTGAAAAAAATCTCTGCTACTAAAATGTGTTTAGTGAGAGCAAAGATTAAATAATAATAAAAACTATATCAGAGTCTAGTATTGGAAGCAAGTTAGACCTTTCAGTGATGGGGAAACATGGGATTAGAATTTCTTTATAATTTCCTTTGGTTTGGGTGTTTTTTGTTTGTTTGCGGGTTTGAGGATTTTGTTTTTTATTATAATGGGAACTCTATGAAGAGTTTTAAATGCAGCTGCAAAGAGTGGCTGCTGCTGAGAGTTAGATTGTTCACTCTGAGATTACTCAGTCTTGTATACTCAGATTACTCATCTCCTCGTCTGAAGACATGTGATATTCCTGAGCCAGGAATTTACACAAAGATTGAAGACAGGCATTTAGAGCAAGCTCATTGTCTCAACAGTCATTACTTAAAGGAAAAAAAAAAGTTAATGTGAACCCAAAAAGGTTATGCTTAAATTCACAGTTTACAGGCTTGATTTTTATGAAAAGTACCGAGGAAAAGCTGTATTTATAATCGGAATCTGTCATATAACTTAAAATAAAGATAGGAGAATAAACTGAAATGAAGAAAAATGTCCTCTAAATAATTTATTTTCATGTTTCAGAGAAAAACAGGCAGAAATTTTCTTCTAACTCCTTATTTTGAGAGTGCAGAATCCTATTCAATTGCTGTCTAATCTTAGTTTTTCTTTCTTTTCAAGCTATGCATAGGATACTTGAGTAACTTAAATTGATCTTTTTAAATCTTCCTCTTGTCAAAGGACATAATTACAAGCTTAAAATTGTGCATGTGCCTATCAAGGATGACCTTCCACGTATATGCATGTATTTAATTTGACTCACACTTAGAACAGTCAGGATGCTGAAGTCAGTAACATTTTAAAAACATGTATCATTCACACTTATATCAACATATATGATTTAAATTGGCATATAAATATGTATTAATATGTACGTATTGATGACAGAAGTGTAAGTAATACCTTTCCTGAAACTGCGGCACAACTAAAGGCAATGAGCTAGCCGCCGGTAAAATTACTGATGACACTGGCATTGTGTTGTACGGATTGACTGCCTCTCTCTGACGTGCAATCCATAGGCCAGTGTTCAGGCTTGCCATAGGCTCACTTCATGACTTTGTATACAGTACTTAAGGTCAGGTTTTTAAAAACATTGTAGTACCAAAGTCTTGTTTTCAAGGGGACCTGTGTGAGGATCCCAAACTAGTTCTGTGTGCTTAAGGCCCTTCATCGCACAGCGAATGTACTAGCTCTTTTCCATAATCTCATAAATTCTGTCAAGAAATGGCAAGAAATGTGAAATGTAGCCCAGCTGTATTGTTCATGTTCACCTTGGGTAGGTAGTGGAGCTGAGCATTGACCTTGTTCTTTATACATGCTTACCGGTTTGATGTCATGTAGGGGCCAATCCAGCTAGACTTTTTTTTTTCCTTTTCCTTCTCTCAGGCATGACACCAGGTGACCTTGACTCTGTTGGCTTTAAGGACAGACCTGAAAACAATTTAGCCTTGCTCACAGGGCATGAAGCTGAAGCTAATGAGCCCTGTGTACGAGTCAGCTTCAGGCAGCATAGGATCAAATGTCTTTGTGCTGTGCTTCCAAAGTAGGGAGCATGGTGCAGAAGCACGTAAATGGCTCTGTAGAGCCAGGCTGGGTACAGCGTGCTTCGTTAGCCTGTGTCAGTAGCAGCTCTGTCAACGTGGCTTAGTACTATGCAAGGCTATTCAGATGTTTCTGCACCACGACACCCAACGTGACAGGTTCCACCAGAGCTTATTAGCGGTAGGAAAATCCAGCCCATGTTTCTGTGCACATACTAGTGACTGCAGTTGAGCCGAGGCATGAATTGAGTTTCCTGACGAATCAGAGAGGTTAGTCATCACACACAAAAGAGGAATTTTTGCAAGTCACCCCTCCGCACCCACTGTTGAAGATGCACATGCATGTAGGCATACTGCAAGAGCTTTCAGGTTTTGTCTGTCTTGAATATTTCTAATGTGAACAGTCACAAGCTCTAATGTGGGTATTAGGGGAATGTTTTGAAAGAAGAAACAGAAAGGTCTAGTAGGATAGTATTTTCCAGCATACTGCCAGCTCTGTTAGTGTCTGTGTTGGACACACTGGAGTCAAATACAGGGCACATTCCCGAGGGGGGAGAGCAGTTTCTGCTGTGTGCTGGTTTGGGGGAGAGTTGCATTTGCTTCTTTTCTGCAGCATCAAATGAAAGAACCTGTGAAGATGGGGTTTGACTGTGGCTGTTGTGATCGGGGAGGAGTGAAGTTTCTGCGTCTCTTTCGGTGGAGCAGAGCAGAGTGTGTTGCCTTTGGAGCTTTCCCACTAGTGTTTTCAAGTCTAAAATGATTTGCCGTGGTTTGAAAGTGTGTTTTTAAGTGTTTTTCTTGCTGCTTATTGTAAGAGAAGCTGTAGTGAAAATTTAGGGAGGTAAAAATGATGGCTGCATTTGAAACATGTTTCAAATGTAATTACAATTGTGGATGTATTTCAGTATTTTAAATTTACTTGAAGAAATTATGTGCAGTTTTAATCTAAATGGATTTTCAGGAACTCTTAGCAAGTTCTTGCTTTAGGACTGTTAAGGGTAGCCAGTTTTCATTTGCACTAAAGCTGCATTAGTTTGTTGTTTTGTTTTGTTTTGTTTCTAAAAAGTAGTCTGAAAGTGCAGTTGTTCATGACGATTTTACCAGACCTGGCACTTTGATTTCTAGTGTATACCTGAAATAGTTGCAACTTCTTGAATAACTGAAAGGAGATGGTCAACATAGTAGGAAAACCAGTTTTACTACAGAATTTGTTCCATTACTTTTTAGTGTCCTGTAAACAATATAGAGAGTTGAGCCACATTATGTTTGTTCTAAAATTGGTTTTTTGTTATTCATTATGACTGAATCCTGTACAAAGGCATGGTGTCCTCTAAAGAGCCTGTTTGGTCGGGTTCACCTGACCAAATGAATCTGGCTGCATGCTTGGCCTAGCCTTTATTTCTAAGTGGTTTTTGATTGTTGTAAGTCATTGTTTTCTCAGTGTTGCCTTCAGCATACTGCTCCCTGTGCTAGCTGCAAGCATAAAACAATGACACATGGAGAGAACATGACAGTGTCATGAGGGGTTTATTTTACAGCTATATATTCACATATATAGCATTCACAATATAGTCACACAATGGATATATCCAAAAACTACAAACCCCTTGTGTTGGAAAGGTGATCTTGCCCAGTCTTTTCCTCTCCATGATTATTGCCATATCCCTGGGAAAGTTTGAGGAAGGAGAACTTTAGGTAAAAGCTAGTCATAGTAATGCTTGGAGTAGTCATTTGTGAAGCTGTCAGAAGATCAGTGCTAAATCCCCAACCCTGCTGATTCCCAAGCACGCATCTTTGCACTCTCGGTCATCCTCACAGAGGAGAGGATGGTGCTCAGGGGCAGCAGGTTCTTCCTCTCTTCAGTGGAAACCACTGAAGGCTGTATCAGACTGTCAGGCTTACAGCTAGGCACTTCAATGCCAGAATATCCCATGAAGATCCACACAAGGGGTCTAAGCCCCTTGGCTGCTTTATAAAGTACAATCTTTCAGGCTACAACTCTATTTCAAAGTGTTTTATGTTGTGAAGTGTCACTGAGCTGTGTTAACCTGTCTTCTAACTCCTGTGCTGCCTCTTAGGATTTCATAGAGTCATCAGTGACACTTTTTCAGTCTGATGATGAAGATGGGAAAGCGTTAGACATCATCAATGAAGAAATCCCTGATTTGGAACAAGCTGGATTTGGCCCAGAGACAAGGTCGATTCTTGTGAAAAGTGGAGTGTAAGTCTACTGAAATATATGGATGGAAGTATGAAGTATTTTTTTGCACAGTTGGGTTTGGATACATCTTTTGACAAAATATATTTCACGTGATATGGGTAGTGAACATTTGGGGGAGAGTAATGTTTCCTTCAGTTTCCTTAGTACATGGAAGAAAGAAAAAAAATCTTAGTTTACTCTAAATCTCATGCCTGCACCTTGATCTGGATCTGGGCATTCTTGTTAGTAAAGGAAGCTTGTGATGTCCCTCCAGAGGTCACTAGTTAAGTAATACAGGAGCTTTGACAGTAATATGGAAGAGGGCTTTTGGTATGTTAAGAACTGGGATGCCTTTTGGGACAGGTGGAGCCTGTACAGGAAGAATGGGCTGTGCCTTATTTGTAATAAAGTCAGGCTGTTGGCACTGAAAATTAAAGTATTTTTAGAGAACGATTTAAACTAGAAGCAAGGGGTTAAACCAACAGATGTGGAAGAGTACCTGGTTCAAGTTGATACAGCCTACAGGGTGGGCTTGGCTAACTTTCGGTGTGCATATGTGAAGTCCAGGAGGAAAATAAGCAGCACAATTATAATAAATAATAAATTAAACTGCCTGCAATGTCTTGTTGACAAAGATACGCAGTATTAACTGATGGTGCAAGGCCAAAACTTACAAGTGCTAGAAGCCTAAAAATAGTATGAGGGAACTAGAATGCTTGGTGTGAAATGACAGCTCTAATACTACGGAGATCCAACTGGAAAAGTGGGAAGAAAGCCATGACTGGGGAGATGCTGAACAGGTAAACGTTCAGCTAATAGAGATTCAAAAACTTGTCAGTTAAGTGTCTTTCCTCTGGGCTTCTAAGCAAGGCGTCATCTCATGCTGGATCTATATTTGATAGAAATGCAGAGACCCAAAGTTGTGTGTTTGTCAAAGTAGTGTTTGCAAAGTAAAAGCAGAAAATCATGTTTGTGACAGTTTTGTGCCTCTTGCTGAGTTTGATGTTACACTGTCTGTCAGATGGACTTACCAAGAAAACTCCAAAGAAAATTGTTCTATTTCACTTGTTAGTATGTTCATCAAACTACACAGAAAAATGTGATGTTTTCAGGTTGGTGTTTTTTTTGTTATTCTACAGGTGGGTCGCATATCAGCAGAAATATTTCTGTGGAGAACAATATGTATTGGAGAAAGGAAAATATAAATGTTTCTTTGACTGGGGAGGATCTAGTAAAATCATCATGTCAATTCGACCAGTTAAGTTGGTGAGTTACCAGAACTTCTTAAGGGAAAAACGTAAATGAGACCATTGGAGATCAGAGCATACAATAATGTTACCACGTGAGGTATGCTGTTTAATCAATTTTCTGTTTACTTGGAAACAAGTTAAAGACCCATGTGGATGACGTACGATGAGTCTGTTAGGGATGGAGACTGAAATGGAAACTCTGGATCTTTCTATCTGTTAAGAGTATTGTCAGGGAAACTTAATAAGAACTACTTCCCTTTGGCAGACGGCATTCATGGAAAGAATAATCTGGTCTGGAAAGATTAATTTGCCTTAAAACATAGTAATTTATAATGCCTAATTGGTAATGGATATAAAAACACTCAAGAATTTATCTGGCCCAAATTGTTGTTGTGTAGCAGAGGTCTGGGGTTTTTTTCCCTGTTATTATGCTAAAGTATTTGTAATATGTATAGCAAATAAAGACAGGAAACAGTTTAAATCCATTGTTAAATCCAAGGTAGTGCAACTTGTCCAAATAGATTAGTGCCAGAACTGTCAAAACCCTAATGCAAAACAAAGACAGTCCTCAATAAGGAGTATATAATGAATGATACTACTGCACTGAAAATAAGAAAGGAACAAACATTTAACCTTATTTTGAACAGCACTTGTCGAAAGAGGTGTCACAGTCTTCTGTTGTTTTTAATTCTGTCTTTTTTTTTCCAAGAAATAGACTCAAAAATAAATACTGAGACATTTATATGGGCTCTAACCCGCATTATATGAACTGATTCATGCTGATGCAAGTTCTCTGTGTGGAAAGGGGCTGAACAGTCAGGCCAGGTAGTCGTGAGCCTACAAGCAGCTGGTGGCGGAGGATGGGGAAGAGAATTGTGCCAAGAACATGGGAAGTGTATTTTTCTCTGCTCTTGAGTTCATAATTAACAAATTTCAGGAACATGACATGCCTTCTAGGAAATTTATTGTAATTAATATTATTTATTTATGTGCATATATATTTATTATTGCAGGAACCACTTGGAACAAATGAGCCTCCACATTTGGTATGTTGACATTATAGAACAGTCTCTAGTACTAAACTAGTACTTTAATAATTAAATACAGGTAATGTTGAATGTCTTGCGTTGTTACCTCAGATGATATCTAAGTATTATCATCTCCATCTCCAGGAGACCGTTGATGGAGGAAACAAGTAAATGTCAAGTTTGCTAATATTCTACTCCTTATTCCGGGTCATATCTTTCAGTATTCTGTCCTCAAAAATACAAGCAGTTCAGTAGGTTTTGAGTGACTTTGGGTCTCTAAAGCTATTTGTTTTCCTCTTCTTTCCTTCCTGCTTCTGGCAACTCGCTATCATGTGCATTCATCCTTCTCTTTGTGGCATGTATTCTTTCCATTATTTTGCATTATATCTGGTTTGTCACTGTCTTGCTCATGTATGAGGTGAAAAAGAAAGCACAAACTGCAGAAAATTGAACTCCACTCTTCAAACCTGCAGATCCATCAACAGGGCAAGTTGGATTTTTTAGCCTTGGATGCTGGTAGCTCTGCTTTTCATAGTCTCCTAGGCATGTATAGCCGCTCCTTTAGCAGCAGTCACCACTTGCTCCGTGCTTCCCTTTTCCTCACAGTAACAGATGACCTTAACTGTACAGGTCTATGATAAATCTCTTCTATAATAAATTGTATTTCCCTGAAAGTCATGTCTGACTTGGTGACACCTTACACAGAGAAAGCGGTCCCTATAATTCACTTTTAGTCTCAAGAACAAGTTAGTTCAAGGCTTTGCACTTCTTGTCATTATCTTACAAGGTTATGTTTCATTAATGTATCTTTGTGATATCTTTCAAAACCAAAAATCTTCTGTAAAGTGTTTGTCCTCATCACCAAGGATGGTCTGTGTCTCCTGCAACATTCTGTCCCAATAGGGCTCTTCTCCCTTCCTGCTATAGTTGATTGATTTCTTTTTTCTGTCCTGGAGTGTGCTGCTAGCATGGGTGATGGTGTAAGTGGTTATATTGTACTCTTTATGACATGCTCTTAATTAAGCAGATTTGGAAAACTTTGTTTCAAGAAACATAACATTTTTTCAGACAAAAGAGACTTTGGAGCTCAATGATTGTGCTTCAGAAAACTGAAGTATTTTGTCATCTGGTCACAATTTTGCTCTTTCTTGCTTGGATGGGTATAATAGCCGTAAGCGCATGGGAAATACATACATTGTGTTGTAGGTCAACATTGCAGGTTGCCCACACCCTTGTTCTTCTCCAAGTATTCTAGTTCTACAATTTTATCATTAACCCAGGACTAGAGGAAATGTTTCCTGTCTGAAGACATAGTTTGTGTATTATTTTAGTCTTAAGCACTGATTTCCTGCCAGACCTATTCATGTGGCAGTTTGCGGCCAAATTCAAAGACTGGCAACTACATTCACAGTGAGGCCTTGGTAGATGATACCAGATACCAGTGGGATCCAAACAGTTGAAGATAATTTTCTCTCCATCTTCAAATCTTCTACTTTTTCAGAATCTCCCAAAAACTATTCATAGAGTCATGTAAATCCAGTTTTGCAGACCTTTAAGATCAATTCAAACCTTTGAAGTTTCAATGATTTATGCTTTACAGTCTTTTTATTTCCAGTGATATGTGAAAAAATCTCTGTGTGTATATATGCATAGTCACCTTTAATACTGACATGTACTACGTTGTGTTTTGCCTTTTGTCTTAATGCCATTTTTAAAAAATACTGTCCTGGCTTGTCACAGTCCTGGTTTTCATAGGATTCTGCCGTAAAGCTAGGAAAGGAAGAACAATATTTATATTGCTACAGTTCTTTTAGGACAGGAATATTTTGAATAAGTTTTTATTCGAAAATGTTTAAGCACTTAGGATGAGTAAAGGAAGGTCTTTTGGATAAATATGAAGACTTTCCATATTCAGAGTAAAATAAAAGTTTCCATGGATGCAACAGTCTCGTAGTTTGGAACTTCAAAGCATGGTGCATATGAGCTTGGCAAATCTTTAAGCTTTCTAATGTTTGACCCTTGTATAAGCAATATACTGGTTCGTTTTGAATGATTATACATTCTTCCATCTTAAATAAATGTATGTCTGAGCTAAGGGAGCTGTTTTTGCTGTCTACAAGAGAGTGTCGTCTTTTCAGGTCTGTTTTCAGTTGCGCATCAGAAATGGAAAAGCAGCTAAATTTTTTAAAATCTGTCAGTAACTCCCCTGACCTTTTCCTCCTGCCAGGCTCCCTGATAAACAAACTACATGTAATGTAAGAACGCCTGAAATCACCAACTGTAAAAAGCCATTCATTTTATTTATTGAAAAGAAAAGTTGGTTTTGCCCAGCAAGAACAAAGCCTCTTTCAATAGCAGCTGTCTTGTACAGCTGATTTAGGAAGCAAAGATAATTGCTGTGATAACTTGTATTTGTATTTTAACATGCTGTCCATTGACATTTTAGGAAGTGGAACTCATATAGTAATGTCAAATCCTGACAAAGTGGAGATAGCTGCAGTTTGAGACTAATTGCAGATATGCAACATTTTCACTGAGGAATCAGTACTTCACCCCAGCTTTTGTCAAATTAAGACCATCATTCATTATTAGATATATTCTGTATGAAAAGGAGTTACAGATCTTTTTTAAAAGCCTTGCATAGCATCTGGCATATGAAAGAAAGCGTGTGTATATATTTCCTTTATAAAGAGGTTTGAGATGAGTGGGTAGAAAATACTATGTAATTACGGCTTAAATAGATGCTTTGTGACATAGTAGTGCAATTATATTTACAGAAAAGTCAGTTGCACTTCATTCATTATATTGTAGCTGGTTTGTGTTCTCCAGTTTGCAGTTAGAGCATGCGAGGCCAGGTTAAGCTTTGCTTGTCCTTATTAACAGGAATTGTATTCATTTCTTTTAAAAACATAGACTGAGCTTTTCCATAAAATAATTTGCTGACACTTATGTATGGCCTTTTCACTCTGTACTGGCACAAGCATTTGGTTTCTTTTCTTTGGCAGTAATCTAGGCCAATTTGGGGCATAAAGGGAGAAATAGCTCTTGCAACTGCCATCAGGTTTTTCTTCTGTTGCAGAATATGAGCCATTCTCTTGATACCGTTAAATTTTTCATTCTTTTCTAGCCTCTCTCTCAGTCTTTAAAGTGAAACTCACCTCAGCTACACAGTGGTGGCCAAAGGGTACAGAATTCTAGGTGACTTTGCCTTAGATCATAGGCTGTATCATACTACTTTTTTCCTTTTTTTTTTCTTTTGCTGCAACACTTTCAACCTTACTGCTTTTGAAGGGTGAATTGATCACTGCTTACTGGTGGAGTATGGTTCAATGTGGCTTGAAGTTCTTCACCATGACATGTAAAAACAGCTTAGGTAACTTCAGAAGTTCATGGTGCATCTACCAGGCTGTACCAAGTTGCTCCAGAAATTCTCCTCCTAGTTCTTAAATGAGGAACTACCTGTGATCACTGTGGTCACAGAAGATTTCAAGGCACTTTGTCAACAATAACCCTGTATCTTTTGACCAACAATTCCTTGTCCTGTTTTGAGCGCTGGATCACTGAGCTGTAGCAAGAGTTAGCTGCAGTTTGGGAGTACTTTGGGTGGAAGATAACATCCCTCAGTCCTATCCTTCTCTTTTTCTCTGGGCCCTCTCCTGCTGCATTTGAACTTATGCTTGATACCACTGCCTCAGCATCGCTAGGAAGCATCCTGTACTGGGTCCAGAGACAACAAAACACTCGATCTTTCTAAAAACAAAGCAGCTTTAGAAATGTAAAAGATTCCTTAAATGAGAATTCTTTTTTTTTATTATATCTTTGTGAATTGCGTGGATACTTCTCTAAGACCACAGCTATTTCTGTTTACATTAATGATAATGAGTTCATTTTGCTTCTAGTCATTGGTTTTGTTTTGTTTTGTTCTTGTAGCTCAAAGCTTTCAGTAATACACATTTCCAAGGAGCATGTATAGATTTCACAGCAGAAGTTTCTGATTTTACATCATTCATACCATGTTCTTTTAAGGTTCTTCGGGGATGGTAAGTCTGTTGTTTTACATGCTACCATTTTAAGTAATATGACATTTTTTTAAAAGCTATGAATTCCAGACAGCTATAAGTGCATAACACACGCCTATCATAATCCATCATATCTTAAACCTTTTGTCTTGCAATGCATCTCAGTAATTGTTGTCCTGTCATTGGTTTGGGTAGTATCCATTTTGCATTCCCTGTGGGAAGCTTGCACAGTTACTGTGTGGTTTTTTGGTTTGGTTTTTTTTTTTGGACTCCAGTTACAATTTATTCCAGATTTTGAGAACTTGGTACAGTAGAAGTGTCTCATTCCACTCACATCGTTTGACTCTGGAACTGAGATTTCTGTACCACGTGATTTGATTTTGCTGCTTTGGTTAGTTTGCTGCACAGTCTTTCAAGTCACCTTTTAAGCTTAACAAGAACAAATTTTTTATTCCTTACTTCCTTAGCAAATATTAAATCTTGAAAAAAAACTTCCTGTTAATAAGCAGCTAGAGCAGCTAATCCTTTTTGCTACATTATTCTTGCAGTTGGCTCCTGTATTACCAAGGGGAAATCGCTGACAATCATTGTGTGCTGGAGGAAGGCCTCTACGTTGACCTCAGTTCCTGTGGCTGCCCGACTGCTACAATTAAATCCCTCAAGCCTATTCAATACGTAAGGACTTTACTGAAGAAAAATAACGTTTTGGAATTCTTTTCCTAGTCAGATGTCTGAAGCAAGTTGTTGCGTTAAACTCCCGCTCAGGGAGAAGAGTGAAGTTTGTTTTCTTGGCGTAGGGGATTTTATGGGTTGGAAACAAGCCAGACTGCATGCACGCGTGCACACACACTCTTGGGTGTTCTGGGCTCAAAGCTGCTGTCTTTTGTGTGAGTTGCATTGGTTGGTGTTTTTCTGACTGGTCTTTATCATACAGCTCAGCAAGCTTAATACACAGTGAGACATCGATTTTGTCGCACTGTCTAAGCATACGGGGCTTCTTGGCCTATAGCCAAGGTTCAATCTTAAAGCAAAGAGAATGCAGAAGACATGAAAATTGAAATTGCAAGGTAGCGTACACTTGCCATAATATTGTTTAATTTACTAAATATTTTACAGAAATATAAAAAAGGTTTTCACCTGCTGATGGCATCTCAAACCATGAGTGGTATTATATACCACACATGTGGCCTGTGGGCTGTATATGATACATCAGATTGTCCAGTCCAAAGCTCGTGTGGCCATCTTCTCTCTTGGTGACTTCTGAGATATAGGACAAGTACTTACTACACATGCACATGACTTTCAGGTCGTGTTGGTTGTACTACCCAAGCACACATCTTGCAGTTCAGTGACCTGTTGTAGCAGTAAGGTGAGAGATACAAGGACTTCTATGGCCAGGGGATTGGACAGGAATGCATTCTACTATCCAGTACAAGATAGATACAGCCTTTTGTACGTCCTGTTGTAATCCCACACACAGGACGGATGCCTCTGGAGTCTTACTGTCATGTCTGTGCCCTTGTCCTATATCTTGGTATGCTCCTGTGCAGGAGTATCAAAGATAAACTGGCTGTCAGTAAAAGAGAAGCAAGTGGCTGCTCTGCCCACTCCTCTCTAGCACTGACCAACTTCTCCAAAACTCTTCCTCCTTCCCTGATCACAGAACAGAAACTCACTCTGTAACCTGTGCCTTTCAGTGTAACTCTTATGAAACTAGACTTTAAAGATTACCCAATTCAGTTTTCTTCAAGTGTTAAAGTGCTTTTTTCTTGTTGTGAACAAATTTTTTTAAAAGCAAACATAAAAAGAGAAGCCAAACACCAGAAGCCATGGGCATGGTGGGAAGCATGTACAACTTGAGGCTGAGAGTCTTTTCAGTAGGTTACCTAGATGCAGTGACTTCAGTGGAGCTATAGCTTCCCACCTGCAGAGAGCCCCGGTTTTCACATTAAAGATCTCCTCTCACATTAGGCTTTTGGACTGTGCTTGCTAAATCAGAGTGATGTTTTGACTTGAAATGGTCGGTCTCATCCAAATCCCCCAGACTGTAATCTCGCAGGGAAGTGACTGTGCCATTTGGCATAGTAGGAAGCTACTGGCAGATGTTGATTACCGAGGGCCAAGCCTTGGGAGAAGTGCATTTGGCAGGCTGTGTGTGGGAAGCTCACTCGTGTCTTCCTGTACTTCGTAAGTGATCTGCTCCTCTTAGTTCAGTTCCTCCCTTGCAAATAGGAGCCCTTGTATTTCACAAAATTGAGGCACTAAACAGCAAAAATGCTGTTGACCCACACCTGTTTTACAAAGAGAAATGCCCTCATCGGCCCCTAACACATTGCGTATGCTGATCGCACAGGACAGTGCTCAGAGGCATTGTGTAGGACAGACGTGATGGTGAGCACGCAGCAGTGAGTTTAGTCAGTGGTCAGAAACAGCCGCAGTTAATTCTGTGCATTGTGTGCACTGCGCTGTTCCTGGAACAGAGCCCTTTTTAGTACAAGATATTTCAGTTACCTCATTCAACAGAGCAGCAAGCGTATTCCCAAGTGGAATTGTGGGATAGCTTTAATGAATCCAGTTTTGACATTGGGAACACCTTCTATTGTTCAGTTTTAAATACCAGCCCCATTTCAGACATAAGGTGTGTATCTCAGCAGCTCAGGTGTAAGAGGGAGAAGTTTAACCCCAACACCAAGCCCTGAATGGGCATTATGTCCTGCTCTCCTTTAAGTGAGATGTGTTTGCTGGAAGTGTAACTGTTGGAAGGACTCTCGCTCGGCAGGGGAGCCGTGTATTGCTCATGGTGTGAGGTTTCTGGATCCCAGATGTTGACTGCAGAAGTAGAAGCCCATGTGTCGCACTGGCAAAGGGGAGAAAAAATAGGCTTTTAGAAGTACAAAGGATTGTAAGGCTAGCTCGTTACCAGCCTGTGAAATCAGTCCAAGTCCATTGACTGGTGTAGATGTGGTCCAGCTGTATACTTTAGAAGTAGATTGTTTCAGCCAGGCCTTTGGGATAGGAGAACAAATCTGCTGGAGGAATGAGGACATGGCATCTGGGTATTCCCTTTCTAATTTGCAAGATTGTAATTGGATAATTAACTATATGCTACCTCGACTGTACAGCTGAGTGAAATTCTGACTCTGGGCCTTTATGTGCAGGACGTATGTAAGAGTATAGATTCTTTGTGTGGGGCTAAGTCCAGAGCAGCTGTGAAACATGGCAGTTGGCACAGGCCACTGACACCTGTGGGGTGTGCAGCTTGGCTGAGCATCCACACCAAGTTTTGCATCTGACCCTGAATCAGAATGCCCTTTCTGTTCCTGTCTCTCTGGTAACTAAAAGGAACATCAGGCAATGTTGCTATTGCGTGCAGCAATACCTTCAGTGTAACTTTTCGAGTTTTCACTTAAAATCTGTAACAGACTTGAGGGGCTTTTTGGGTGTTGTCAGCTGCCACAGGATTTCTGGGCCCTTCGTTTTGGAAGGAGAATTTGAGGATTAAAGTTACATGTTTATAGTACTTCTTCATGACATGGATGTGCTTTTGTGACCTGACAGAACAACACTGTAAGGTGGTAGTGGGATTTTTGTGACTGAGTGAGGTAACAGTAATGCCTTAATCTATATGAAACAGCTGAGAACTTCTGCAAAGCCTTGACAGATTTTTTTTTTTGTTAAATAGATCAACCAACTGAGGATAAGGAATGTATTTGAGGGAATAGTTTGTTCTTTGGAAAATGCAGCTTTGATGCGAACAAAATATTTGCAAATAAATACAGCAAACATTCTAAGTGAAAAAAAAAATAAGCTTTTTTTTTTTTTCTAAGGAAAGTAAGCTTTTGAGTTATTAGGTTGAAAATTGCCAGAAATATAATTTGCCTGAAAGCTTAATTACATAACAAAATGAAAAATCTCTTTCTAAATCACTGAGTTGGCCCAGTTAAAATAAAAAAAAGCCAAAATTTTCAGAGCAACACAAAATTCATTTGGATAAGAAAACAGGCTCAGATTAGTGATGGTCTGATTTCTTCCCTGTGGTGACAGCATTTTAGGTTGTGTAGCTTTTGTTATAACTTTTAGCTCTTGGAAGGACATTGCATGGGTTCTGTACTGAAAAGTGAAGTATGGAATGATACCTTCACCGCACCCACACTCCCCCTTTTCTCAAGAAATACAAATTAACGTGGTTCACTTGGGTTATTTCCCCATTTATTATGCACTGGCATTAACAGAGGAATTAAGCACATCTTTGTAACCAGTTTCCTCTACTGTTTGTTCAGGAAGTAGCAAAGCAAAAGTTAAGCAGGTTCATAAGGAGAGTGGGGAAGGTGTTGCCTTATTCCCGGGAACCTCTTTCACGTCTTGGCTTGTTTTCCGAGGTGTGTAATACTTGAACTAAACCTTTAGGAGATCCTACCTGTATTTTTTTCCCTGCTGTTCCATTTCACTCAGATTCAGACTGGACTGCTTTGTCCTGCTGAGAGTGTTTAGGAAAAGCTATAGGTTGATGAGAGAATACAAAGGAGGAACAAGGCATATCTGTACCTTCCATAATGAGAAAATAATGTCCTTTGTTTTGGGTATTCTGGGAAGAAAAATAGTGCTGCAATACCCATATATTAATCTGGATTGCATATTGAATAGTGATGTGTTATATGGCCTCTTCCCTTCTGAAAAGGGGAATGCTTCTGAAAGACCAAGGAGTCTTCTTCATGTAATATTTTATAAGTGGGGAAAGTATGCTTAAAAATATATCTCACAGGAAAGTAGTTCTTTAAATGAACAGGCAGCTACGCACTTTGGAAGCCCGCTTAACATTAGAAGGGTACGCATCTATTTAGTTCCAGTGTTCCTACCACTACTAATGTAACTGGCCTCTCATTGTCTCCTTTCATTTAAAAATCCCATAGCACTCTTCAAGAAAAGTTGGCTGGTGAAATCTGCTGGTATTGTAGTTAATAGTCATTCTGCAGGTGGGTAAAAGCATAGCGCGGGTTAAGGGTTGCTGCATTTGCTGCAGAGGTGCAGGTTTCCATCTCTGCATCAGCCAGGACTCACCTCTTGCATTGCCGTGAATTCATGAAAAGGACAGCGTGGGCCACTCGCCTAGTGACAAGCGAGTGGGTGAATGAAGTCAGCTGAGCCATTTATAGGGCCATGGTTGCTTATTGGGGCATTTGTCCAATGTTGTTGCTTGAAGAGGTGGATCTTTTGGGATAGAAACCCTTGCAAGATGTTCTTACAACGGGGAGTTCAGCTCTAGTGCTGTCTTTTCTCAGGCATGTTGTTTTGTCAAACTCCCTGTATGACTTACATGAACAAGAGTAGAGTATCCAGGGTTATTGCAGTGAGCAATTAGTTTTCCTTCTGAAATGTTAACTTCAGCCCTGAAGTTAAACCGGTCTCATAGTTTCCAAAAACAAAAAGGAAATCTGGTTTGTAGGTTGTGCAACACGTTTGGGTTTGTGTTTTTTTTTTCTTGTGAGGCATTCCTTATTCTTGCTCTGATCGGTCACGATAGATCCTTTATTTCTATATGTATTATCTTTTCTAAGCTAAATATAGGTGTTAACTAATCTCCCCATCATTCCTGTGAGGCAAGTAATGAGATCAGATACAAAAATTAATCAGTATTTCCCAGGGCCAGGCAGTGAGTCATTTTGCGTAGCTGGGACCAGACCGTGGGTGTTACTGTTGTCCAGCGCCGTGCTCCTCTCCCTCAGCCAGGCATCCTTCCCACACTGAAGGGAGCAGCCAGGCGAGCACAGCTTCAGTAAGGACAGTTGTAAATGATGAGTTAGCCAAGAGTGAAGAGTAAAGATGTTTCCAAGGATGTTGCAATACAGCTGCGGAGGCCCCTGCAGTTAAGGCTCTGACGAATGCTGTTTGCGTAGCAGCGGGTCAGCAGGGACGCAGGGTGGGGAAATGTGCCAACCCTTGCCGTGACTGGGTTAGTCGTGCTTTAGGCCGGCCCTGTGGATTTCTTTCTTTGGTTTTGTTTGGCTTTCCCATCAAAGTTGGCAAAATCTATGTTTGCAAAAAAAGGTGCGAGGTAAAATATGGTTTGGGGTGAGCCCTTCTCAGCATTATTTAATTAACTAAATTATTGACTATATTTATTAAATATTTAACTAACTAATATATTAGTAATAATTTTCACAAAATTCATAATGAAAAACTATCTGTATGCTATCCATAGCTAAAACCATACTTGTTTTTATTATAAGCGTGTGTGCAAATTCACCTGTGCTCTTGGTTTTCAGTTGCAGCACCTTCTGGTTAGCTTCTCTGTGTCCATACACTGTTGCTTTTCAGTGGGTCAAGCACCTAAGCCTTGCTCTGCAAACAAAAGGCATGTGAAAGGAAGCTCATCTTGCACTGGTCTTTGTTCAGTATCAAACACTTCAGGTTTGCATTGCACTTTTTTTCTGAACTGATAAAGTATAAAATTCTGAATTGTGAAAAATTTGTGGTGCACAGCTTCCCTCTGTTAAAAAAAAGGTAGAAGTCACTGAGGGAAAAGTCTGAGCTGAGTTGAACTGTGCAAGAGATTTTTTTTTTTTTTTCAGCCTCTGAAATAACACCATGGGTAAGAGAAAAAGCTGTCATTTTCATGGCATCAGGTGCTGTATTAGCCATAGACTACCACACCTGTTAAGTAAAGGGTATCACTGTATTTAACAGTTCACAAGGCTGATTATACCTTGAAATGCTATGTAAATATAGCCATCCTTAATCACCGGCCTCTTAAATACATTGAATCTCTGAAGTTTCTCCCTGGACATTGGCATTAGAAAACAGGACGAACAACCTCTTAAAACTTTATTGGTGCTGGCTTAAGCAAGGCAACTAGTTCCTTAAGGCACAAAGATCAGGTTAAGTAATTCTTTATTGCTTTGTCATTCTTGCCATTGGCAAGCTTTCCCCAAAGGATGGCATTTCAGGTATTTTCCTTGAAATAACTATGAAAGGAAGCTGACCTAGATGTGGCAATGACTTGCCAGTCCTGGGTAAACGTAGAGGTCTTTAGCTCAGCTTTCAAAATCAGGGACTGGGGTCCACCTACAGACATGCCACGGTCTGAGGTTGTCCCCTCTTGTATTGTCTGCCCCGTTGCCCTTCCTCTGGCTCTCACAGAGCCCTGTTCCTCCCTGGCCTGGCAGGATTAGGCCTTGGTGAAGAAAGCTGATCCTGTCAGTCTCATGCTTGTCTGTTGGTGATGACTCTCCACCTGAGAATGGGTGAAAGTGCACCTCAGCATTCTGCAGGGAAGGGTGGGAGCAAGACACCTCCATCATAAGTGTAACAGCATAGCCTCAAGACCTTGCTTTTTACTGTTGGTAGTTTCCATGGAGCTGTGAAAACAAAATCAGAGAAAAATGCCAGGCCAAGTCACTGCTGCCAGCTGTTGGTGTGAAACGGTATCTATAAAGTGAGTAATCAGCTCATTGCTCTATATATGGTTATGGAAATATGAGAGCTTCAGTGCTTCAGACAGCAGCATGTTTTCTTTTTTCTGTGCTTTGCGTCTCTGCCAAGATCAGTGGAGTCACCCTGGGGTCTCACCGGAAAGGTGGTATCAGACGTTGTGATCCGTGGTATGCGTGTCGTAGATGCAGTGCCTGCTGCGTGCTGACAGGCTGGGACTCCGAGCAACCGGACAGGTCTTCTTCAGGCCCATGGAGTTCAAACAGTCTCAACCACATGAAAGCTAGAGTCATTTTAATTGATTTCACCGCTTGGCTGTTCTGATTCTTGCTGTGTAAATGGATATGCTGGATCAGATGACTTGTCCACCTAGTACAGCATCCCTGTCTCTTAATGTATTGAATATTGCAACAGCAGGATAAATTTTAGGGTTTGGTAACAACGTCGAAAAACAAGGATGCCACATGGTGTTTCCCACGTTTACTAACGCACTTGTGAATATTTTCCCTGTTGGACCTGTTCTGGACATGGCTTCTGGTCTCCATTCAGGTGAAAGCCAGCACTAAGGGAGTAGGCTCTTGCAGACTGGAGTGTGATGATAGTGCCTTGCTGAGCAAAGCAACCTGAGAAATAGCTGCCTGCACTAGGTCTGTTGGTCTAGATTTGAAAGTAAGCCTTTAGACATACACTGTAAACTTGACGGCCCCAGCCAGCAGAAAGCAGGTGGGAAGAAATGACATTGCAAAATAAAAATGCTGTGGGTTTAAATCTCTTTCTGTTTTGTAACATTAGTTTTTTAGGAGGGCAGCGGGCTTTAAAAATCTGTCCAAGTAGATGATCCCAGGCTCTTCTTTAAAATGTCTCAGCAAGCTCCCTATCCATGCAGTGTTGCATGACTTGCATTGTCCCTGCACTGGTTGGCAGAGGAAAGCAATTTCTCTGAGGCAGAATCTGAACAGCCAGCTACATACCAAGTGCACTGAGTCTGTGCCAGTAAATTTGTAAGTCCTGAATCACCACTGAGCTCTTCAGAGACACTTCACTACAACACACATGCCTCTTCCAACGTAAAAGTTAAAATCTTTTAATTACTTAGTGCCTGTGTCAACTTTAATTCAAGATTTTGTTTCGTTCATTCCACCTGAGGCCATGTCTTCTGCTGCAAAAGAAATCTTACCATTGCCTGAGCTGGCTGTCTCAGCATAACATCTCCTAAGAACAAGGTGGCTTCCCTGGAGAGGCTGCTAATTGAAGCAGTTATTCAGACCTATTTCCTCTTCCTTTACCAGCTGCATCGAGATATAAATTACAAGTCCTTATGATTTTGGTTATGATATTTCCTTTATGGTTTAGGTTAAAAATGTTGAGTAATTGTACAAGTGTTCCTTGTGCTAAGGCACAGACTTTGTGTTTAAATCTGTTCCCTCTGCAAGATCAGCAGAAAAACACAGCCTTTACCACCTTTTCGTGCACAGTGATCTTTTTAATTGCTTTCATAGGCAATCTCTCAACTGTAGAAAAGGACATTAAGCGAAAAATGTTTCAGTGAGATTGAAGGGGTTAGTAATTATACCATTTCTTCAAGATTGTCAGAAGAAAAATAGGAATGACTGTTAAAAACATGGAGAACTTTTTAGTTCTGGCATTTCTAACCTTTTCCAGTTTGTAGATCCTAAGATTTTTCCAGTGAACCACTGCTAATTGAGGTGTATGGACAATAGACTTGTGATTGGCCTCCCTACGTTAGTTGCAATCTGCAGATCACCCTGAAAACTACTGCTGTAACCTGTTCCATCAATAAATAAATAAACTGGGTTTATGAAAAGGAATCAAGGCCCTGATGATACAAATCAGATCATAAAGAGATTTTTCAAATGCAAACAGAGGCCTCTGCATCTCGAAGCGACTCACTGTGTCTGGCCTGTGTCAGTGGGGCACAACACTCTGATGACAAAGGCGCTGATAAATCCAGTATGTTGCTGCTCTGTGTGCTTTGTTGGTGGATGTACCTTTTTTTCATTGCTGTTCCATTTGCTGAAGGAGCATGATCTAACCCAAATGCATGTGGAAATTAAACTGAAGTGGGCAAATGTGTGCATCATGCCTAACAGCTGAAGTTAGACTATTCCTAGTAAAACTTTGCTTTTTTTTTTTTTTTTTCCCCCTTCCTCCCACCCCACCAGGTCTTTGCTGAGCCCTCCATAAGTCTGTTCGCTCTGGAATGCTGCAAGGGCAGAGAGCTGCACTTCAGTGAACCCATCAATTCTGTTTTGAATGAGGACCTTCATTTTTACACTCAGTCTGTATGGGTGAGAAGTGGATTGTAAGTATGGAAGTAATATTCTTGTCAGTTTTACATTATAGGAGTTAATACTGGGCATGCATTTTCTCCCAGCTACTGCCTTTTTTCCACAGGATGTGTTTCACATTCGAACTTTCATTTTGAGACGATATAAAATCCTAAAATATGGTTGAATGTTAGACTCACTTTTTGTATCAGGACCCAAAATGAACAAAAAATCTGGGCAGAGGGTGTATTTCCCCCTCTGACTAGTCGTTTTATTCCTATAGATTAACGAACAATAGAGACTGTTGTTCAATCCAGGAACCGAAAGTAAATAGGTTTTGATTGCTGACTTACAAGTAGAGTAAACTTGGACTGCCTTTATTAACTGACCGTAAAATACCGGTTATAAACTGCAGTGATTTAACTTAAACCACTGCAGTGGTTCAGTGAAGCCTGGCATGCTGATCAGCTGCCACAGAGGCAGCAACGTCCGAGAGCAGCTTGGGGCGGATGTGACAGCTGGAACAGTAGTTTGCTTCTGTTATTAGTTTAACCCCACTCCATGAGAGTGAATACACACCCAGGGTCTTCTGTGAAAACCATTTTACATCTGCAGAAGTGACCTCCTAACCTCTTCCACATCTGCCCTTTTCACCTTTTGGAGACACTCCCAGGTATTCAGCCTCCGCATCCACAGCAGCAACAAATAACTTGCAGAGTCTCTTCCTGCAGCTGAGACTGACTGGAAACTGCTGTTCTTCTAATGCGACACACCTTTCCTGTGTTTATTTTTAACCTTTTCCCCACCTTTTTCACATAGAAAAGGCTGTAATTTTCTTTAGAGATCTTACGGCATGACACAAAACCATGCAAATTTTCAACTAATTGGGCAAGGAATTAGTATAGACTGTTCACAGCTTACGTTATATCTCTGTTGTGATTTTTACGATGAATTTTTCAAACACGCCTTGTCTGTTACCACCAAGAAGTCAAAACCCTTCTACGGATATCTGTGATAACGCTGCTGAGCACTCCTCTGATTCTTTGAGGTTGGTACAAAGGCTAAGCCTAACCTAGCTAATGTTCCAGAGCACCACGGGCTGTTTTCTTTCAGGGATTTCACACAAGCGTTTTCTTGGAAGGTTGGTTAGGGATTGCACCTCCCTTTCTTTAAGAGCAGTCAGTGGCAACTAGCTTTAGCTGTGGGCCCGTAGTGCATATAAGCTGCCCCACAGAGCTTTGCCAGTTCGCTATGAATTCTAGTCCCTAACATCTGTGCTGCTTCCATCCTGAGCCCTTGATGAAAATATACAGAGTGAGCAATCGTCTGCTGCTCTTGTCTTGAGGTGCCCCAGGTGGGCGTGCAAGCAGCTGCCCTTTGAGGCTGAGAACAGCATACACACATTCTCCGTGATCTCTGCTAGCTTGGAGGAGGAAAGGCCACCTTTGGGAGGAACACCTGACTGACTTCTGGTGAGAGTGGTAAATCTTCACACCTCTGTGGAAGTGTTACTGTCAAAAGTGTGTCCTGTGGGGGAACATCTCTATGAGCTTTCTCTGCCCTCTCATCCGGGGTGTGGAACTGGAAATCAAATCGCTTTGCCCACGCAGTTGGCTCTAAAGGAAGGGTGATGGCTTTGGGACCACACAGTAGAAAAGTGCGAGAGCGTGAGTGCAACAGTCCAGCCCCTTCTCCATCTTCCTGTTCATTTCTGAGTACCCAAGCCAGGTTAGCTGGTTCCCTGGCTCTGGGAAGGGTCAGGGCAGCATGGCTGGGCTTTCTCTGAGCTCCTTGTGATGCTCCCTAGGAAACAGACCTCCGCAGCCTGTCCCCATCCCACGCTGCAGAGGTAACCTAAAGGTTGGGGCTGGCAGGTGATCGTGGGAAGTCTGTGGAATGTCCTGGAGGGTTTGTTTGCCTTATCTGTGATCAAGAGTTCAGGAAGGCGGATTTAGATGTGTTTTGGCTCCTTGCCCCAAAATCTGCTGTCAGCTTTAGACAAACAACAAAGTTTTATGTAAATATACAGACAGCATCTTGCTGCCAGGCTTAGGTACAAGGATCCGTGAGAAATGGCACGAGCCTGCACTGTGGCTTGCAAAGGGGACTGGGGTACTCCAGGGTGTGGGAAAGATGGCACAGCGGAGGCTGCTGGTCGTCGTGAGAGCCCAGGTGGGTTTTGTGTCGCTGAATGCCAGAAGCCCAACCTGGCTTCGCATGGTTATTACAGTAAATATGAATACATATAAAGTACATATAAATGTGTGCTTTGAAACTGCATTTCAAATGAGACCGTTCAATGCTCCGAGAACGTTAACAGTGAATTCTCGGTGTCTTGACAGAAAGCATCGCGAGAAAAAAGTCAGGAATGTGTTAGAAGTGTGAGGAAGCCGCAGTGGTGGTCAGGCTGCTCTGAGTACCTGTCAGGCAGACGGTGTGCAGCTTGATTTGTAGAAACAGTGATGTAGGCTCACTAGGAGGCAGTTCGTGGTTGGCACATTTTAGCCTCCATGGAGTCCTGAGCAAGGCTGGCTGTCAGTTCCTCCAAATTACATGCAGTGGGGAAAAGCAAATTACAGGTGCTATGAGCACTGCTCCTGGATGTTTTCTGACCGACTTAAGAGTGCAGCCATCCCTCGTGTTCTTGGCAGCTGACCTGTAGGACAGGTAAGGTGGGGAAACCAGTATTTGTTTTGTGCTCAGATGAGTTAATGAGTCAAGCCTTTAGAATTCACTGTCTGCACAACAATGTCCTGTTGATAGAAACAAAACCCATCTGTGATCCTCAGGCTGCCTTTGTAAGCAGCAAGGCAGTGTTTACTGAGCAGATGCCGAGATAACGAGGGATCTGTGTGTGTGGGTGCTTTAATTCTGTGTTAAGGGATTCAGCTGTGTCCAAGGCTCAGATAGATTCACTACAGGAAGGTCTGTTACAGCAATGTGTAGATTTGGAGTAAATATTTCATATGTGTTTTCAGACAAGTGGAATAGCTATAAAAAGCTTTAACTGTAACAAAAGAAAACATTGGTCAAGATCCTCTCAGAATTAACATGTACGACCAGGCAAAGCTGCAAGTAGTGCCGTCTGGTGTGTGGCTTCCTGGTTTCCGAATGCATGCCCACTGGAACCTGCAGCATTCCCATCTGAGTTTGCGCAGAGGTTCTCATATTTGTGGGGAAAAACTGGCAGTTGGGGGGAGTGGAGTTTACAAGTTTCAGACAGACAAACTGAAAACGGGTCAATTTGGGCAGAACACAGTTACACCACTGAAATGGATGGCATTTTGCAGCACAGTAATAGAGGTTTGATGTTGGCACTACTATGGAGAGGTTTGGGGGCTTTCGAAAGCCCAGTCCTGCACGCAGGCCTGTAGTTTAGTTTTGCTATGGTTAACGTGTGGTCTGTCATGTTCTGTTTTCTGTATCCAGGTGGATTGCATATGAAGGATGTAATTTTTTAGGAAAGCAGATTCTGCTGGAGCCCAGTGAGATTTCAAACTGGAATGAACACAGTGGCTGGAAAGGGAGCAGCTCCCTTCGTCCTGTGAAGCAGGTACTCTAAGAGTGTATGAGGACAATTGTTTTTGGACAGGGATTAGTGCACAAGTATCTGCTCTACTACGAAGTATAACGCTGTGATTGTGCTCGTTAAATCAGGCCAAATGATGACAGGCAGAAGGACCTACTGGAAGATCACTGAAGCAGAGAATTCCTCCAGTGGCAGTTACTGAGATCTATATTAGGCTCCTAAAGGGAAATAATTCCTGGTTTCTTGGAGCCAAGTTTTGTTTTTCTGAAAGGCTCATTAGCATGTTCTGTAGATGCTCTATTTTTACATTTTTGCCATAGAACAATAGTAATGAGAAATCCAATTCTGCATTGCCTTGTTTCATAATTAACATAAATGGAAGCAAGAGCAAATGTTATTGTGCTGTGGCCTGGATTTCCAAAAGAAGCAAAGTTTATGCAGTCCCGCCAGGTTTTCCCTCTCTGCCTCCCCCCACGTACTGCCGGTTTCAATCTCATTCAAAGATTCAGGTCTCAAAACCACAAAGTTCTTAGGAGCTTTGTGAAAGTCAGATAGAGAAGCAAGACTGAGATAAATGCCCCTCATTCAAGGAAATGAATTCTGCTTCTCTGCCTTTCCAGGATGCGTCAGGTAATCAGTGACACACACGAGCTCCAAACCAGTCAAAGCACGTGTTGCTGGGTGCGTGGCCGTGCAGCTGTGGGAGGGCAGCGTCGGGCAGAGAGGAGCAGGGCAGGGGAGCGTAGCAGGGAACGTGAGCGGTAACTTCACTGGGGAAGAGTTTTTGTTAGCTCTGCTTCTCGCAGAACAACTTGGTTCCACTGAGTGATAAATGCTGCCTTATTTTTAAACACTAGATTCAACTGGGGAAATGTTGCAGTGAACAGAAATAATCATCTCTAACATTAGTTATGCATTATCTGCTCTCCCCCCTCCTTCTCCCTGGAAAAGTAAAGGATTTCCCCCCTGTACACCAATAATTTGTTAGTCTAAGAAGCTGTCAGCTCCCTGGAATTCTTTGGAAGTAGTATCTACCGAAAGATCCCATTTTGGTTCTGTTTTTGCAAATAATAATGAAAATTATTTGTGCTGATCTTAAAAACAGAGTTCTCTCTTCAGCCAGCAATCTGCAGAGCTTTTGTATTTGGTAGCGTCGTTTTTTACACTGCAAGAGTGAGTAGTGGTGTAAGGCCTGCTTCAGCTACTTTGTTGGGACTTTGGCATCTGGTGTTTGTGTGATTGTGTTCTTGGTTTGGTTTTGTTTTAAATCCTGCAAACTGAGGGCTTCCTTGAGTTTGTGCCGTCAGCTACCAGTGCTTGACACTCCTGTGGGCATATGGTCGTATTTTTTGGAGACTGGAGTAGTACTACAAACCTGCACCACTTTGTTTCTTCCTTCTGTCTCCATTACAAATTACAAAAATAGTCAAGAGGCAAGAAGCAGCAAAACATTTGAAACTTACAGAAAATGAGACACGAAAATTTTGCTCAGCGACTTCATAACACGATCCCTTCCTTGTAAAGAGTAACTATACAGTGTGCTAGTACACGTTAATTTATGGATGCTTAGTGGGAGAAAGGCTTTATTGTCTCTACCTTAGGGTTTGCTCTAATATGAAAAAGAGGAGGTTCAAAGCTCCCAGCAGAAAAAACTATGCTGGAGTTGGGGTTCCAGCAAAGCTGTCCTTTATAACTCACTGCTCTTTATTTGTGCTGGTCGGTGAGTAACAGAGCGAAAGCTCAAACCCTGTAGTAGCTGTGCAAAATCTCGCTCTTTTTTTGAGTAAACT